TGTGTAACACTCTTGTGCGAGCATCTCATCGCTTGTATCTTGTTCATTGTATCTTGTATCTCGTATCTGAGAGATGCAGCAGCAACCTTCGATGGAGTGCGCCAAGTGTTATTTTCACAATTGGAGCGTACTTAAGCCGGTGCCTCGAAATCGAAAGTGACCCACGATTACACACTCGACAGAGTCCCATTGATGAACTTCATTCATGTGACGCCTCGAGGAACTTGTTTTTTTTTTTGTGTCCAGTTTGAACCCAAACTCACCAGCCGGGTCAAGTAATTCCCCCAAAAACCAAGCGTGAGATAGTCCATTTTTCCCCAGGATTAGCATTAATACAACAATACAAATATTTATAATATTAAATTAAATATTTTGAACAAGGAACTACAAACATTTGATATTTTTTATTTTAGTTTAGTAAATATTTAATATTTTAGAAAATTAAGTCTGGCAAATCACACAGTTATATCAATATTACTGTTTCTTACGTAAGTTCTCCTACTTTTTAAATTACATATAAACATACTTTTCGAGATCCTTTAAATAATACATATCTGGTAGATACATATTATCTCTATCCAAACATAAGCTATACGCCTGGAAAATTCAAAGCATCTATTCTTAATTATTACATTTAAAATAAAATCTATAAATAGACTCTTCAATCAGTTGAATAATAGCAATAACAATCATAAATGAAGGGCTTCTCAAGGCCAACTCATTAAATAATGTCCCTCCCTCCTCTGCTGATCTGTCAACCCGATGTCAGTCGGCGAACAGTGAATACTTTCAACACCTACGACAACAATTACGAAACAATCGTAACAAAATCAAAATCAAAATCAATTTTCAAATTGAAGCCAAACAGTAAACGACACAAATGAGGCAAAGTCGAAACAATAAATAATAAAACAAAACAGCAGCTACCCAACTAAAGTGAATAGAAGAGGGTCTTTTTAATTGGATTTTGGTGCACACACCGAGGGAAAGACTGAAAAGCAAATAAACCGGCGACGCACCGAATCGAGACACTTGTCCACTTGCTGTCCACACACAAAAATCATTAATCGTAATTGCAGCCGACGCATTGCCCCAAGAGAGGAGGAGAAATGTTGAGTACATGTACCTACAGAGCCACAACAACGCGGTAACAGCGCGACAACAACTCCAAAACAACGCGATCGACAACGAGAAGCTGGGGGGCGTTCATAATGGCAACAAGGTTGCTTTACGTCACCGATCGATTCGATTGGAAATTGGAAATTGGTGCACTTGGCCACCGATGAAGAAGCCAAGGAGTCACCCGATGACAGCAGAAAGAAGGGCTCAGGTCTAAAAATGAGAGCCGGGCATCGACCACTCAGAGAAAATATTTGGATTTATTTAAAGTCCTGTTTCAAAAGATTTAAAAACCCTTTACTCAAAGGTACTATAAATTAATGTTTTGAGATTTGAGATTAAGTCGTTCATCTATTTTTATTCGTCATCTCTATATTATAAGAAATCTCTATATTATAACCATTATCACCATCTCAAATATAAAATCAATGTCCTTTTATCACTTAATCGAATCTTAACCAAATTATACTAAAACTATTATCAGACTTTTCTACTTAGTTTAATTAATAGTTTCTCGAGCGCTCCTCTGTCATCTAAGCCTCTAAGCTTTGTGTCGAATGCAGGAATGCTACCTGGCCCACTTATTGGTGTACCAGCCATACCCTCAATTCTGAAAGACCGCAAAAAAAAATATATAAAAAATTATATATATTATATATACAAGTTTTCTTTTACACATTATCATTTAATTCATTAATTTTTGCGAAGCTAGTATCTGTTGTTTTTATAAATCCATAACTTTCAATATTTTGCATCTCTCACATGAAAAGAAAGAAAGACGGCGTGCCTCAAAGAAGGAGATGCCTCAGATTCGAAGATTCGAAATTATGTGGAAACCAGGTCAACAGTGCAGTAGCACTGACCGGCCATAATTCATCCATCGATTCGCATCGATCTCCTTCCCCGATCCCCATCCCAGCTCCTCGTGGCATTGGCTCTGTCTTGGCCGGTGCCCTTGTGGCTCTTTTTTTCATTGGAACAGCCCAAAAATAGACGAGGTTGTCGGGGGGATGCGCCACTTGACTTGCCACTTGTTGCAGTCAAGTGCCACGACGCACGGCAACGGTGAAAAAGAAGTCCAAACACGAAACGGGGCAGAAGCTTTGGGGTTTTGCCATTGAGACATGAAGCCAAAAGTCGATTAGTTGGCCAATGCGGTGAAGAGGCGCATTCCAAACTCCAAAGACTGAAGAATGGCTAGGTCAAAAAATTAGAAAGAGAGAAGCCAGCAAGCTTTGTGGGTTAAGTGGAAAAAGATATCACAAAACTTGTAAAAATAGATATAATTATTATGTCATCTCAAAATGTTTCTCATCTCTCCAATAAAATCTTGAATTTAAACCATCCCCTCTCAAAAATCTCAAATTAAACCGAGATTTTTTCCATCCGACTTCCACATAAAATTATTTAACGAATTCTTGGAATTCATTTTAATTTCATTACACTGCAAAGTAAGTGAATTTTTACTTTTACCGCAAACCCCGAAAAATTAATAACAAAACATGCAAATCATGGTCCAAAAAAAGGTCGCAGATATATGTTATAGATTTAAACACTTCAGCCCACATCCAAAAATATTATGACAAATGGGAAACGAATGTGGCAGCTTCCTCTGGGCCACCTTTTTGAATAGCGTTGACAAATCGTTCGGCAAATTGAGTTAATAGCTTGCCCCCGGAGGAGTATAATGATGATGATTATACCGATCGGCGTCGGCGATTATCTCGTTAATTAGAGACAACACAGGCAGGTTGGTACGTTTTCGCACCACCTATCAAGGTCATTCGATTTTGGCTGAATTAACGAGGTCCCTTTACCCATCCCACGCGGTCTTCGGCTTGGGTTTTTCGTAATTAAAATTGGAGCAAGTGAAGCACTTTTTGTCGACCTCTCAGTTGCTTGTGGGCGTTGGGCGGTTGCCGTGGGGAAGTTTCTATGGCAATGTTAATGAGGCTAATACTAGAACGAAATAGGATTTCGGGGATGGGCCCAAATCCATTCAAAATATATACAAACAAATAAGTAAGTGCTGCGAATTAGTCATCAAAGTGGCTGGTAAAAATACAATTTAATTACAGTTACTAATAAAATGGGTTTTATGTCTAAGAAAATTCCTCGACTCGAAACCTTCGGTGGTAATTTCACCAACCTTGAGCCAAAGTCGTGGAACAATTGCGTTGAACATGTGGCCAAATATTGACATTGAATTATAATGCCTATTGAGACGCAGCAGCAATCAAAGGCCTATATATAGAGACACAACATTACAGGCCACAAAAGCAGAGTGTAAGCCCTGGTAGGGCGAAACAATAATAGTGACATGCTTAACGAACAAAGGCAAGTGGCAAACATATTGTCACTGACGTTCCTCTGTGCAGCGTAGGGTTAAGGGCTTGGCAATGTATACCGACAGCTGTCAGATAGCTGAAGCCCTCTAATCACACCGATATCACTTTTACCGCTGCGCATCTCGTGAATACACAGACACACGTGCCCCTGTGTGTATCTTTGAGTGCGTATGGTTCGGTTTCATTGAATTAAGTGCCCGGCTAAATGCTGTGAGCCGCAATTTGTATCTTGCGCTTTGTTTATTTACGCTGTCATCTCCTTTTGTTTGGCACTAGTTTGTCCAGCCACCCCTCGCAGCCCCTCCGCCCGCAATTTGTTAGCCATTTTCAGTCAATCGCATTGCGGCCAGTAACAAATTCGCTTGTCAGGCCGCTTTGGTCTTTTTCTTGTTTGTTGTTTTGCTCATTTTGGGCTCTTTAGGCAGTGGGCCGTCATTTGTGTTTGCCACTCCGCCTAGCTGGCAATTAAAAATGTATTTACCAGCACTTTGCCATTGCGGAGCACTTATCACACGATTCCCATCGCCTCTGCCTTCCCGCCATCGCGCAACTGCACTTGACCAATTCCCCCCACTTGAAGAGGTTAAAGCCAGTCGAAGGACTTCGCTTCAAATGGCCGTTACTAAAATTTGAGCCGCATATGTGTGGTACATATACTCTGGCGCCGAGAGACCACTTGGCGTATACTTAATGTGCGATCAATAGCTGGCGCCCTCTACATGTCAGCTTGCTTGATAGCTAGCTTATCAGTCGTGTCTTTCTTCTTCTTCTTCTACCTTGAATAAGTTCAGGCGTTAAAAGAAAAAGTCAGACGGAAAAAAAGCTTAGCAGAAGCCAAACAAAATTAAACACAAACAAAGAGATCGTGGAGTAGGTTATATTTATTTATTTATATCTTTAGAATTATGAATACTCATTAAAAATGTTTAATGTATTAGAAACTGTTACTTAAATTAAAAAGAAAAATACTATTGAAAAATTCTAAATTTGCTTAATAAAAAGTTTTTAAAAATTTGTATAATAATAATTTTAAGGTTTTTTTTTGAGTGTTAAATGCTTGCATAAAAGATTTGGTTTCATAAAATGGTCTAAGAATCCAATTTATGAGTTTAAAGAATTTTAGAAGATGAAAGACCATTTTTTAGAAAAGGCTTTTCGTAAATATCAGACATCTTTTGTTCACATTTGAAAGACTACTGGAACGATACCAATGATAATTTAAATGAACAACCCTTTTATTAAACAGTCAAGTCTTAAGATAAGAAGAATCCTTTTAATTATAAACCCGTCTTCAATACGTAAATGGTTCTCATAAATAAAATTTAATTCTCATAAATTTAAAGTATTAAGGTATATACCCCTCGTAAAAATTGTTATTACAGGGTACAAACAAAAATTAAAAAGGCAACTTAAAAACAAAAGCATTCGGCTATAGACTGCAGCCAAAACAAGACATTTACTTCAGTTCTTCCCGAGAAGATCGCCAGTGCGGTATTCAAAAACTTTCCTCAACGTCGCCTTGATTTAATGAAAATGCAAACCGGTCAAGACAATGAAAGTCAGGTAAAGTTAGCTTTACTTATCTAACCCAGATTATAGGCTCCGACTTGTATCTATTTTGCCACGCGTTTAGCTTATTTTGGTGCAGAACAATTTAAGAACATTGCCATTGGAACTAGTGAGAAAGCACTCGGGACATACAGAGCTATTGGACTTGAGCCATAACAGTATAAAGGATTTGTCCTGGCTAGCCGAGTTTGAACAATTGCGGCACTTGGTTCTGGATAGTAATCGCATGCATGAAGCACATCTAAGGACATTGTCACGCCCCCTGCCCCAATTGGAAGTACTGATGCTTAACAAAAATGAGGTGACAAACAATATTTATGTTTTTAAAATGGTATCAGGTCAAATATTGTAATTTCCAGTTCAGTGACCTGCCAACAACGACACGACTGATCAAGCGGCTATTTCCCAATCTTCAGTATTTGAGTCTCCATGGAAACCCAATCTGCCCAGATGGGCTGGAGCTGCAGCCCTTCTCCGGTTACCTTCGCTATGACTACCAATATTACAGGTTTGTTTCATTTAAAACAGACTTTATATTTATACATTTTATAATTTATTTAATAATACCCGCAGTAATTACATTGCACAGTCGCTGAGCAAACTGAAATTTCTGGATCATGGACTGGTTCAACGTACCTACCAATACGAGAGTTTTCCTCTCAAGAACTATGATGGTAGACCGTTGGTAAAAACTACGAGTTTTTAAAATAGTTAAATAGTATTAATAATTTTTTCAATAGTAAATAAACTGTTTTTTGATTGGGCTTTTCAAAATAAACCTGTTTTTTTTTATTTTAAGAATATAATTCCATTTTGAAAATGTCACCCTGTGAAGTATAAGACACACCAAAGACACAAACCGTACCGCCAAGTTTTCTAAAAGTAAAGACCCACACCCTTTAACAAGCTTTATTCGAAACATGGAATATAGGGTATATATACATGTTTATTTTCTTCCCTATTCACAGTTGGATGCTGTCAATCTAATAAAAAATTACAAATTTTGTTAAAATTAAAGATATAAAAAATATTTAAAATTCCACTAAAAAGTAAAAATTAATAACACAAATTTGTAAGAAACAAAAAAGCTCTGTTTGGATTGTAGGGTTCATATATGTACAAATATTTACTTGCTTGGCACATAGCCGGCCGGCATTTATGTGAGATAATTCAGAGGTACGGACCACAAGCAAAGCAAAAAAGGTAATAAACAGCAGTCCAAAAACAAAACACTGATAGCAAGTTATCAGGGAGCCTATAAAAGCGGCATCTGGCGGGCTTTGCAGTTTCAGTTTCGCGACAACTTGCTGCCAGACGGTCTGGGGTTCTTGTCTCCTTGGAATAATAAATATAAAGAATATACACACATATATCCATCAGTATGGCCGATCCCAACGCCAAGCCCAAGTACACCAAAGTAAGTAATTTTATTCTATTGTTGCCAAGTGCATTTTCCCATAATCTGCCTTTAAAATTCATAAAATACTTGTACTTGATTTTTATTCCAAACGAAAATCAGCCTAATTCAAACTTGTTTGTGTCGCAATTTGCAAACATTTAACAAACATATGTTCATACATACATATTTTTTAAATTAAACAGGGTGTCTTTGTCTGTTATCTCCAGATGTTTGACTTGAAGTAAACAGATTCGAAAAAGTAAAGCCATAATAATTATGAGGTCTCGTAGGCTGATAAGAGGGGTTTGATATGAATGAGACTTTGATACAATTAGTTCAACGAGCTTTAAAAATGGTCAGATCAAAGAAGAACTTTGATCTGAACTTAATATTTTAACTTAAAAGTTTGTAAAAATGGTTTTAACTTCAGAAACAATATTGATTCCTTCTTGTTCCTTTTTTCACAATTCTTAATCACTAAGAAAACTTACTTTTGCCATTTAATCCAGTTATTTTCACTCTAAAGGACCTAATTATCTAGATAAATAGTGATTACAGACTAGTTTTGAACTTATCCCAATAGCCCATAATAGCTCCTAACAAGAATTACAATGTTATTTCATTTTGTTGTCAAATGTTTCGTTTTGTGCTCTAATCGTGACCAGAATGACATACATTATCATTTACATTGTTTACACGTTTCGCGTGTCGCCTTTTAACTGAAATGGACCAATCAAAACTGTGTTACCTTGTTTGAAAGTACCCACTAACAGGGCCTATAATAATGAAAAAAGTGCATAGATTTTACAAATTACTATCAAGTCAGGGGATATGTGTTTTCAGCTTCTTAAGATTTGAACATAGGTTTTCAAAATGCGAACCGCATCATTGTCAGGTTGTAAATGAATGAATTACAAAAATTATTATAAAATTACTAATACTTAATATTATCTATAGCTCTTCATCAACAATGAGTTCGTGGACTCCGTTTCTGGCAAGACCTTTGCCACTTTCAACCCGGCCACCTCCAAGGAGATAGTCCAGGTCGCCGAGGGAGATAAGGTGAGTCAAATAATTGATTAAAATTATTTCGTTTTTTTTTAACAAGTGCAATTATTTTTAAGGCTGATATTGACCTGGCAGTTGTTGCAGCCAAGAAGGCCTTCCACCGCAACTCCGACTGGCGTAAACTAAGTCCTCTGCAGCGCACAAATCTGATGAACAAGTGAGGTTTTCAAAAAACATACCTCACGTAGATGTCTTTATTAACATCCTTTTTAGGCTTTGTGGATTGATGGACCGAGACAAGGAATTCCTTGCCAGTCTGGAGACCCAGGATAATGGCAAGCCCTACCCAGAGGCGCTTTTCGATGTGACTTACTCGATCCTTACCCTGCAGTACTATGCCGGCTGGACCGACAAGTTCTTTGGTGACACCATTCCTGCCGGTGGCTTCACCTCGATGACCCGCAAGGAGCCCGTGGGCGTGGTGGGTCAGATCATTCCCTGGAACTACCCGCTTCTGATGCTGGCCTGGAAGTGGGGACCCGCCCTGGCTGTTGGTTGCACCATCATCATGAAGCCTGCGGAACAGACTCCCCTCACGGCTCTCCACATGGCCGCCCTGGCCAAGGAAGCCGGTTTCCCCGCCGGAGTGATCAACGTGGTAAATGGCTTTGGACCCACTGCGGGAGCAGCCATCAGTGAGCACCCCGACATTGCCAAGGTGGCTTTCACTGGATCCGTGGACATTGGCAGGATTGTCATGCAAGCGGCTGCCAAGTCGAATCTCAAACGTGTATCCCTTGAGTTGGGCGGTAAGAGTCCAGTGGTGGTCTTCGACGATGCGGATGGTAGGTGTTTACTTTTTTAAATTTATTATTTCTTACTGAATATTTTCACCCTTTCAGTTGACTTTGCCGTGGAGACCACCCACGAGGCTTTGTTCTCCAACCACGGCCAGAGCTGCTGCGCTGGCAGTCGCACCTACGTGCACGAGAAAATCTACGACGAGTTTGTGGCCAAGGCGGCTGCCAAGGCCAAGGCCCGCAAAGTGGGCAATCCCTTCGAGGCTAATGTCCAACAAGGACCCCAGATCGATGAGGAAATGCTGACCAAGGTCCTGGGCTACATTGAGAGCGGCCAAAAGCAAGGAGCCAAGTTGCAAACTGGAGGCAAGCGCATTGGCAACGTAGGCTTCTTTGTGGAACCTACTGTATTCTCCGACGTGAAGGACGACATGCGCATCGCCCAAGAGGAGGTGGGTTCTGCTTTACAATAGTTTTTTTTTATTTATTAACTATTTTCCTTTCAGATCTTTGGCCCTGTGCAGTCCATTTTCAAGTTCAGCACCCTGGAGGAGATGATCGATCGGGCTAACAATGTGCAATACGGCCTGGCAGCCGGCATTATTACCAATGACATTAACAAGGCCCTGAAATTCGCCAACAATGTGGATGCCGGGTCTGTGTGGATCAACTGCTATGATGCCGTTCTGCCCTCCACTCCGTTCGGTGGCTACAAGCACTCTGGCATTGGCAGGGAACTGGGCAAAGACGGTCTGGACAACTATTTGGAGACTAAGACCATTACCATGAAACTGCTTTAAATTAGTTTTATGTTTCGTATGCACAACACTTGTGTTTTATTCGCACTGTTTTGGTTTGTCATTGGTTAGACTGTTCCATTACAAATAAACATATTGGATTTTTATAAATGGTTCAACTCTAAGTGGTGTTTAACTTTCAAAAAATTATTAAATAATTTTTCTAGTGATGCCTAAAAGAATGCTTCACTTTTCGAAACGGCCACTTTAGAATTAAAGGCTAACAGTATTTGAATAAGTTTAGTTTAGTTAACTTTGATTTCGAGGCACGAGTTCACTATGATTACAAAAAATGTTACATTTAAATATAGATTATTTAAAAGCTTCCAATGTGAAGCACGCTAAAACTTATTCTTCGGTTAGTTTAGATAAAATATCCTTAAACTATTCCTAATCCTAATCAAATCGTATAAAAATAAACCTGAGATTGCGAATCTGATTGCCCGATTTTGGTTCTTAGGCCAAATTTGAAGGCGGAATCTGGGACTGACTCTGTACCTCCAGAAGTGGCACTGCCAGATCACTGATGTGCGATCTGGCACTCTGGTAGTCATCCTCCGACTTGGGTCTCGCCGGCTTCTGATGCTGTGGACTGCTCTTTTGCAGGATCTCTGTGTAAACCGGTTGAATAAAAACCGATCCATTTCTCCCCTGATCGAACATTTCATCTATGTCCACCAGCTGAAAGTCCACAGCAAAGATGAAGCGCAGTACCATTATAAAGAGGGCCACAATCCACAAAACCATTACGATTACGTAGCTGGAACGGAACAGGTCCAGGTAGGCATCGTGTGACACGTTATGATCGTGGATGATTGGGCGCAATAGGGCTATGGCACTCCCACAGCTAATGCCTGTTGGGTTGGTCAGATTCCCTCTCAATTGGCCACACAAGCGCTTCAAATGTCCATTGGTTAGAATCGTGTACACAACACTACCAAGGCTCATCACCGAAAATATAACTATCGATGGCACCACAATGCGCCACGGTTTAGGCAGGACTCTGTAACGGATTCATGGTTATTCAGTTGATATTCTATCTAAAAGGAATAACTTACGAGTTCTTTTTTTTACCCGTCTGAAAAATCAGACACATGGCTGTCCAAATTATAGCCACGACCACGGATATTACGGGAAATGTGTTAACAAACTGAGCGCCAATGGCACGGTTCCAATGGGAAGCATGGGTGTCGAGGAACACTAAAAATATAATTAATCTTTATTTAATAAAATTAATTCTTTCAAATATTAAAGGAACTCACTGGTTCTCAGAAACTGACGATCTGCCTCGGCATTGAACACAATCTTTGGAGTTGGAGCCGCCGTGGTGGTTTGGATCTGTTCAACCTTCTGGTCTGCGATCAATCTTTCCAATTTGGGTCGGTTCTCCAGCGACTCGTAGATATGCGATATCTTAAAGATTGGCCTACCACTTTCTATAGGATATTTTATTGTTAATTTATACACACATTTTAATAAAATTGCATCTTACGGCTTTCGCTCTCAGGCGTTCCGGGAGTGACTTCTTGCACGGAATACTTTTGACCATATGCACTTTGGGTGGCTTTTAAGAAATCCCTATGCAGGATTTCCTTGCTATGATTATTCATTAGGTCAAAGTTTCGCTCTCGGAAGATGAGTTTGGCACTAACGATTCCCTCGCGCAGATCCGCCGTCAACATTTGCAAAGATACACACCACAGCAGGGAAACTATGGCATTAAACACCATCAGACATATTACAATATCTGCAAGAAAAGATAAAAATTAAAATTAATTTATCAATAATTTTTATCAACATATTAAAAATAAAAGAAAAGAAACTCATTTTTACAGAGAAATTTCAGTTTTTTAACATATATACATAGGAGAAGTGCTTATATCTAGTGTTGAAGCTTAAAATGGTTTCTTTAAAATATTCTATACATTTTAAAACTGATTGCAGATTAGGAGGTCCAAAAGTCTCGTAATGCATTAAGGGCATCAAGCCTGATTAATTCATAATCGATCTACCAATTATTTAGGGGTTTCCGCTTAAGCATCAATTTGTTATTGGGTTCCTCTTCACTAGAGGCATATTGCTTATCCCATGTATTCTCCAAACTCAAGCCGCAAGAAATAAAAACCATGAAACATAAATGCACAGTCTATTTGTTACTCCCTTTTAAAAATTATGTTTGAATTTATTTTAATATTAGTTTCAATGAGCCCGTAAATTTCCAATTCAAAATCCCCAATAACAATGAATTCTCATATTATGAATAACCTTTAATCAATATCTAGTATTTAGCATCAAAAACATGTGGCTGCATCAAACGGACCGCTGAAAAATTTGAATTTATAAATTATACTTCGCAAACAGACAACACTATATTTAGACAATTGTCTGTATATGGATTCGCAAGGAGCCATAGATCAAGTATACGCACTGTTGCCAACAATGGATTACGATATTATGAAACTCTACACTGGAAGGGGAACTGTACGATAATTTATTGCTTTCTTGTAAGGTATGTATATTTATTCGATGTTGAAGTTTGTTTTTTGTAAGAATCAGCTAACTGTGAACGAGTCTTTCATATATACACTATGCATATATACATATTATTTATACATAAGTGCGAGTTATATCGAAGGCATGATATCATGGCGAATGTTGTAGAGCCCGGCTAACGAGTCTGAGCAAAACATTTTCAGATGACGTCGATTCCGTGACTGCCTCTCGATAAAATTCATTTCAATTGATGCAAATATTCCCCCAACGCTTTCATTTCATATTGTTCCAAAATAAAGAGAAAATAAACCGATGGACAGAGTCAACAAACAGATTCGTGGGTAAATATACGAGTATGCTCGGCGTGCATAATAAAAGTCCCACAGCGAAACAATGTCTGATGGCATCGGGGGAAAAATGTTATATTGCCAATCCAATTTTATGGTCCATAATGGACAGATGAATTTTACCAGCTCGTCTATATAGTATTCGCTTAATTCGTGTATTAATGTTCATATACAGTGTGAGAGAATAGATCACAAGCTGGTACCACAATTTTCATGCTCCAAGTGCTTTGAACGCATTAAGCAAATTTTGTTTTTTTTTTCAGCCATAGACACACAACGAACATCTATAGTATATTGGGAGCGATTTACTATGGGTTATGCGTTGCATGATCTGCCGCAGAGTGGCACCGTGGCATGACATCATTCCAGTTCAAGCTCCCCCTTTTCAGCTCTCATCTCCGGGACTTGGGTGCGGAAAAAACATTCAGTAACGACGTTCAGTTAACAATCGTTAGCTCATCTTTTTAGATAGAAGGCATGGGGCAGGGGGCGTTAGCCGCTTTTGGCCAAGTTTCCATAGCGGAATATGGCTCAAAAAGAGACAAAAGCTTTACAAACAAAAACTATAAATAAATATTACTAAATGATTTCTATATTTTCCACAGCAGGTTTCTATCAAAGAACATTTTACCGGTTTGAAAAGAAGATATTTGTGAATGGTAATAGGTTTGTTGGATTTGAGGTTTTGAAGGATAAGTAAACAATACTTTTAACCTTTTTAGTTGTGCTTCTGAATTTTTCGGAAGTTTACATTTCAAATACCTTATGGCTTGCTAACAATTAACTCTGCAAAGTACTCTAGCGCCTGTGTTTACATCTGCGACTACGTGTTCCCGGAAGTTTCGCACTCAAGCCAATTCGCTGATGCCATTAACAGGAACCACATGGCGTATGCGTATTGAGATTTCGCCCACTCAAACAAACAGTTCCTCACTTATCGGGCCAAAGCACAAACTGCACTGCCACTGGAATGTTTATCAACAGGGCGCCAAACGTCAGGGCACAGAAAAAGCTTGGCGGCAAAAGTGTGAAATTTTTTATAAGCAATTGGAACAAAGTTTAAATTAGCATATTGGCCTTAAAGGCTTTAGGCCAAGTTAGCACCTTTAATGATTCGATTGACGCCATAAAAAACTAGATAAAATTAGGTATATTAAACAAGTAGCGGGACCAAGATAAAGGTTTTATTCAGAGACCATAAATTATTTAATCTTGAAATTTAATTATTGGAAAGTTTTGGCCCACTGTCCTGCATATGGAAGCACCCATCCATTAGGGAACCATCTGCGAATTTTCAAAACATTGAAATAAATATGAGCGTATGTATATGCTTATTGATGCTGAAAGACGCGCCCCCTGAGAGCAACGTCCATGACTGATGGACTAACTCGTGAAATGCTTTTAATTGACTCAAACATTTTCTGTCAATAGAAGGAGACAGTTCACCTCAAACCCAACCAATTGGCTGTCATAGCTCGGAATTTGGTATTCCAAATGCTTTTCGGATACTTTTTCGTACAAAAAGTATGTTTTATTCAGCCTTCTCGAGTCCCTTGAAGGCCGCACTAAAAATATTCCCAGTGTCCGTGCCCTTAGTAATCTTTATAAATATAAAAAAAATGTCAAATATGTTTTCAAAGAAAATGTGGAACGTACGGTTTATGGTGCGTATGTCGCTTGTGGTTAGCTTTCCCTGTTTGTATTTTTTTATCAGCTCCATTTTTTACATATTTTGCTCCGCGAATGTTGTATTTATCAAGTGAGTTACGTTACTCTTTTTATTTTTAGAAAATTAATCACATAATTCGCATAATTTTCTAAACAGTTTCAGGCGCTGTTTTGTCGATGGGACGACTTCAAATAGGATCTATCCACGTTTGTTTAGTTTATGCGATTTTTATGGGAAAAACAGTGAATATTTATCGTGGTCAACTGTGGGAAATGAAGAATTATGCATGGAAATTTATTACAAAAACAATAAACAGAGGAGATCATAAACATATAGCTGAAATCCAACAGCGTTCGGTCAAAATTAATGGAGCAGTGAAACTTTTGTGGGTGTTTTGGGTGAATTTTTTTATTTTCGCCTCGATTCAGTTCACTTGAGCGATCAGTATAATTGAGATTAATTGATTTGAAATTACGGCCGATTTATATGTGTTTGTGTGTTATTTTGAAAATAAAGCAACCGAACTTAGACTGTGAGCAATTTGCAATTGGATTTCAAACACTTTGGATATCAGTTTTCACATTTGGCACACGAAACTGTTAGTTGGGGTTTTCAATTTCAATTTCCATTTCTATTTCCATGCCACATTACGTATACGTAACCAAACCGTATTAACACCTTTTTGTACTCGTTTTCGAATATCTATTCTAATTAACCCGTGGCTTGAAACCCGTGCAGCGGTGGGTGTTTCGGTTTGGGAAAAGTGACATCCGTCTGGGGTAAGGGTTTCTGCCCGCTTGAGGGCCATCCAAGGTTAGATACACCTTTTCGGGTTTCGATTAGAAATTTATGTTTGTTATTTACACTAAGACGATATCAATCATTTGCATAAAACGACGCACAAAAGGCACAGTTAATTGCCCGCCGAACTGGAACTGAAAAAGCGCTTCGTTCGGGCACGCATCCAAAAGATACAAAACCGAAAGCTAACCGAATTTTTCGTACCGTCCGCTTTTCGTGGCTGTTGCTGAGACACTGAGGCGGCTGGCTGCCAAGCCATAATTCTCCAGCCAGTTCCCCCATTCTCTCGCTATGGGTTTCTCTCTAACGTATAAAAACAAATATATATATGGGTTTATTTTCTGTTATTTTTATTTTTTGGGTCTCCCAGAGAGTGCTTCTTCGCGTTTGTTTTGATTTTAAAAATTTGCAACTGGTTGCTCAGGTATGTTTTTGTTTTGGCCTTTTGTTTTGATTGGGTTCTTTAAAATAGTTTGTTTTTGTTTTCAGTTTTGTTCGTGGACCCCCTTGAGGTTGAGGGTACAGGGAAGAACATAGAGGGCGTGGGAAGGAAAGCCATTGTCTTATTCAAGTATATTGTTTTTTATACGCTTTTATAAACACGTACATATGTATAGAGTGGATTGGTACTTACGAAAAGTATACTTAAGACTTAAAATGACTAATGAAGAAATTTGTTCTATTAAAGCCCCATTTGCTTGATTTTTATCAAACATTCCCAAAATATCCTTATTTAGAAACCAACATTAATGAGATTATACAAATAACGACCGAAATCCTGTTCTATTTCCATGCTCCTTTCCATTGTTTCGGCTTTTGGGCAGTTGCCATGGCCGCAATTATCGGCGATGACCTTGAAACAACACGCCGCTTTTTTCACGTCCAAGGTGAATTTAATTAGCGGCCCAAAGGCTCTCCAAGGACATGTGGATGTGTGTGTTTCTCTGTCGAATATGCCACAAATCGCGTGCCTGACATGCATCTTGAGTTTTTTTGTAGATTATTTAAACAACAACAGAAACCTCATCTAAGGGCGACTTTTCCCATTTCTGGTCTCCGGGGTATTATTTAAAAGCCTAATAAAACTGCAATTATTCCCAGTGGTGCAATTAAGCAATGGCATGCTCTTATTATGTTAGAAAAAGTCAATAACAATATATGTACATACATACGTACATACATAACTCTAGCTAAGGAAAACAAATTATTATCTGCTTGAACAGCGGCCAAATAGGGTTATCTGCGATAGAAACGATTTACCAATAATACCCAAGAAGGCTTATTTGTCAAGACCTAGTTAAACAATTATCGCCGAAGAAACTATTTTCGGGCTATAAATATCACCCAATAACAGTTTTCCCACTGGTTTTAATGGTTTTGGCACGCCATAAGCAGAATTGCGTTGAATCCGTTTCCACATTTTCACCGCACACATGTCATAATAAGGCCGGTCTCCGCCACCTACAGATAAATAAACAAATCCTGTCATACCTCAAAAGCTGAAACTGGCGATGACGTCTCCCAGTTATGCAAATTCCAAGCTAGTATCCGTCATGGGTTACAGCCCAACTTACAGGCTAAAGATGTTAACAAAAACCCAATGATTTTTGATGAATTAAACATCTGAAATAGCTATGTATGCTAGATGTCTGATGATGCAATTTCCATGTTCCACATGTCGTATACGCTTTTGTTATTCGAGTGCTGCAAAATAAACTTACGTTCGCATCGCACCACCTCGCGCCGTGCCTCCCGCGTTAGCATCTGCAGGCTGTCGCCAATCCGCCGAATGCGCTGCTTAGGGCTCCCCATCTCCGATCCGCCCCACTTGGCACCCGCATCTAATTACGGCGCGTCTCTCCTTTAGTTGTTTACATGAGGCAAACAATTAGCAAAATGGCAATACAGAACCCCAGCACTTGAGTGCGCATTTTTGGGCTCGAGTTCGTCTGAGTTCGCGATTGGAGATTGGAGACGTTTTGCGTTCACACGGCACGGACGCTCGACGAGAACTGTCAGGCAAACGAAGCGGCACAGGCCATTAGGGGTATTTGTGCTAGCTGCTGTTGCTGCTCCGGAGAAAATTCAAATTCGATGGCGTCATTTAGAATTGGTGGTTACAACAAACTACATAGGCTAGGGCTTAGATCCCAGGCAGAGAGGTGGCAAACGTACTCTTCCGAAAGGGATCAACAAAATTGTAAATGTACCAGAGTAGGTACTCAAAATAGGAGGTCCTTCTAAAAATAAACTAAGAATATTGTTATATATATTGTAACAAAATATAATTTTAAACATAAAAAAAGTGTTAATATTAAAAAAAATTTAACTGAAGAAATCTTAAAAATAAATCTTAAAATTATTAAAAAACATTTTATGGCACAACTGTTTATATGAACTCTACATTGTAGATAATAGCAACTATTAAGTTAATAATCCGTATAATTTTTAAAGCTCCAGTGAAATAAAAATAATAAGTACCATCCTTGAGTACAATAATAAACAGCCACCTCTGATCCCAGACAGCTGACCCCAGAGGGTAGGTGTGTCCAGGGGGAGGTCTGGAATCACCCCTAAAATAGAAAGCAGCCGAAAACAGGAGGAAAGGCAACGACCTCTGACGGACTAGCCCGTATGTCTGAGCCACCTGGGGAGACCGGACCTACTACCACGTGTAATAAGTGTCAGTAGAGCGATTGCGTGTCCAGTTAATTACTACAAAGTATTAACAACATCTGGCCCACTAAAGGAAAGTAAATAGCAGCCAGGTAGGGCTCAACTCTTTGAAATTCATGTTATTTATTATACGAAAAATACTCGATTGTTTCTCAAATAAATTAGTAAATTAAAATACACATTTAATCGTAGTTGTAAATTTAGGTTGTATATAATGCTTTTACTTGGTGTTAGTTACAAATTTCACGTAGCTTTAGTTTGCTTTTCGATTTATTGGTTTTTTGTTTTTGTTTTATTTTTTACAAAAAATGTTTGCTCGCTTAAGATTAAGTGTGGTAATTAGTCTACAGATTTCATAAAACATTTGTGCAACAAAAAGGCATTGCATTCAACTTTAAGGTTGCCCATTTTACATAAATACGAAATTAACATATGTTGGTGTAAATATATATAAATATAAATCTATCAATTTGATCAATTCGTTGAAACAATTCGCAGTGAAATACAAATGAAGGATATCCCTAGACATGTTAGTAAATCATTTGTTAACAATTTCAATTTTTACACACAAATAAAAGGCGATTCTTTGAACTATGTTAGATACAGATTTCCGTTTTCTTCTCTAATTATGATTATAATATTGATCTGCTCACTCACGCTTCTAGTGACGATTGCCATCGCCATTTGACAGGGGATTGGATAGAGAACCTTAACAATAGAGTACCTATACATAGAGCTCGGTTACATAATACTAGTAGTTGACATTTGCTTTAAATGGGCAGAGCAAGTAGTGGGATCTAAGTTCGAATTTTGATTTTCCTCGCATTTTGTGCGCAACACTTAAAACGAATTTCGAATTCTTTGAATCTTCATCTCGTTGACAAGCGTAAAAGATGATAAAATATAAGTGATATTATAATATTAACGAATAACAGATGCCTCGAACCTAGATCAGAGGAGAGTAAATGCGAATAAAGCAATTGGTCAGCTAGCGACACTCAGTTTGCACTCGAATGCTTAAAGCTCTCTAACTACATACTCGTAAATTACATCAACATAGCAATAACATAATTGAGTGCATAAATTAAATAATTTCAAATTAGTGAGTGGACGCAACATGGAAACGCTTTATGCTAAAGCGCTCATTAATAAATACGTAAAAATTATGTTTGTAACTAAGTAAAAATTCGCAAAAGTAAGACGACGAATCTACAACACAGTACTATTTTGGAATCGGAAGAAAGGCATCAACTTTTGATTAGGCGCAGCGTAAAATAAATAGTTAATACAATGATAGTTAGACTAAGCTGGAAACCAAATTAAAGTACAACTAAGATGGGGGAAAACGTGTTTCGCAATACTTTTCGTTTGCATTAGAACTCTCTGCATCGCATCGGGCCTCCTGGCTTGGCCTTTTCAACGGCCCGATAGCTGGGTTTAGGGAATGGGTGCAGTTAGTACCGGGAATAGAAGGATAGGGACAAGTATTATTTAAAGCGTCGCTGTGGCAAAGTCGGACTCTCGGGCGGTGTGTCCCCGCTGGCACTACCGCCGCCCCCAACGACGATTTGTTGCAACGAGTGTTTCTTGGTCACGTTCTTGAAAGGGGCGCCCAGTTTCCGAGGGCCGCGTGGGGAAGCGGAGGCCATTCCTGTGGCTGCCTCCATAGCTGCCGTAGATCCGGCTGATGCAGATGGTACTAAGCCCATTACAGGCGCTGAATCGATAGATGCTTGAACCCATCCTGAAAATAATATAAATGTTATAATTTTATTGTTTTAATATAGGGAATCTATGTAACATACCTTTCACGGAGGCCCGATTATGGTCCAGAAGGGCCGAGGCCAACGGTGCTGCCGAGCTGCTGGCATTCGACTCCCTTAAAGTTCCCAGCGTAGACAGGGGCATGGGATTGTAAATACGGCTGGCGAAGTCCTCAAACGTGGTGCTTTCTTTGTATCTGGAAGACACACTATCCAGGGATCGGTTCCGCTCCTCGTAGCTACACAAAACATGAACAAGATCAGTTCTGATTCGATTTTAACAAGCTAACCCGAACTACTCACAATTGCTGGTAAAGCGGCAGGGCGGCGCGCTTCGTTCGACTGGCATTGATGGCAGTGGCCCGGATCAAGGTGGCCAAACAGGCTCCACTCACCACACTCTCGTTGGCCAGCGGCCCGAACCACGGCACTTCCGGCTTCCTGTTCACTGTTACGCGGAAGAGGCCGTTTCTCAGTGGATAGACTACAATGAGGACATCGCAGAACTCGGTGGGCAAGATGTCACGCCGGTAGTCCCGGTGGTGCTCGCTCCACACAATGTGCACCTCATCGTTGCCCAGATGTCGCGTTTTCAGCAGCATGGCCTCTGAAGAGTCCGATGGCATTCTAGTGGCCACATGGTAGACGACCTCCAGAAAGGGCGTCGCGTAGTAGGGAGCCGTAGCCCCGCATCCTTGGCGCGGTAGTCCTCCAAGAAAACCATTGTGCGTCTCCAGATCTATCTCCCAGCCCAAAGCGGAAACGAACATTTCGTAGGTACTGCTGCCACTAATATTTCTCAGAATGCTTCCCTTATCCTCTTGACCGGCGGCCACATAAATCACAGCCATTTTGTGCGTCTCCCGGCACTTCTGGAGGTCTACATTGCGCAGTTCCCTCATGAGTTTCTCGCTCCTCTGAAGCAGATGCGTCCGCGAGCGTCGCTCCCAGCCAGCTAATCCCAGGTGGGAGAAAAGCAGTCGGCAGTACTGGAACGGCATCTCCGTGCGAGTGGGCAGGGAATCAAAGGAAGCCGTAGTGCTGTGGATGGATCTCTGATCCTGCTGCTGCAGCGAGGAGCTGGAACTGGCGTGCCGCAACGCCGGAGAGGGTGCCTGCGCCGAGTGGGTAACGTATTCCTGCTCTAGGAGGCGTTGATTCAAAATAACCGAGATGGCCTGTGCCTCCTGGTTTCCGCTTATCGGGCTGCTGCTGGGAGCATTCAGTTGGCTCACCGTGGGAGCCACACACTCCGGACTCGTGTGTCCTATGTAGGCCAACATATCATCCAGTTGATCCAAGTCCGGAGCCATATCCTTGGCGACCGGGAGCACTCCGGGCGGACGATGACGCAGTGTATGTCGTGGAGTCTGAAGCTCATGAGTCACCATGGACGAAATCATGGAATCCAGGGGCTGGGCATGATGAATCTTTGGCATCGTTCTTGGAGGAGCTTCCTCTGATTTTCGCGGCTCTGAGTACAGAATGGAGGCATCCCAGCAGGCCTTGCCGTTCAGATCTCGCATCAAAACGCGCACCTGCTTCTCGGCAGTGACCAAACCAGCGGTAATACCTCCTCCGGGCAGCTTCAGAGTAGGTAGCTCGATGAAACTGGCCACCAGACCCGAGTTCAGCATAAACAGCTGCATGTTCTGGGCACTGACCACCGAAGGTAGCTCCACGGAGTCCCGCCGGGCTTCTACCTGACAACCGAACCCGGCACTGCCAATATCGTCCTGCTCCTCCACCATAGAACTGAGTCGGGATGCCCCGATGCCCATGGGAAAGTGGCCGATGTGGGTGACAAGGTGCATGGACACCGCTTTGGCGCACAATTTGATGGCCGTTATGCAGACCTGGATGGTTTCCGAAGTCTGGTAGGAGGCCTCCGGCAAACGTCCATCCCCCTGGAGGTCGTCGTGGGCGATCTGCATATCAAAGTCATCGTCGGCGGTTAGCTTCACTCTCTCGTGGCGGGGCGCTCCCGAGGCCACTTGAAGCAGAACCCTTAGAACCTGGAGCACCAATGTGTCCCCTTTTTCGTTGAAGGGAGTCAACATTAGAGAGGCGGGTATCGCCATGCAGAATTCGCCAAGGCACAGCATCAGGGAGGTGAGCACCACTTTATCGGAGTCCTTCGGCTTGGTTACGTTCTGGATTTCCAGAGCCTTGCACAGGGCAGTGATTATAAGCTGGGGAACTCTCTCGATAGCCGCCAGTTGCCGACCCCGCTCGGCACAGAGTTTTAGGGAATCCACGGCCACCATCGCAATGGTGTGGTGCTTCAGCTGCAGAGCCTGGAGTAGAACTTGGAGCACTTCTTTTATCCGGGGATTGAACACCTGCGTCTCCTTTGGGTGAACATCCTTGTGGTGTGGCACGGCCTGCTGGAACAAATTGCTTCGACTCGAGGCCGACGATCCCGAGGAAGGTTGCGATAGTTTGAGAAGCAGCCACTGACCCAGCTGAGAAAGAGCTATGCAACGAGCCTTGGCCGAGGGTTCTCTTCTGGCGCATCTCAGCACAATGTTCAAGATGTGATCCTGTAGGTCGGGACACTCCATCAGCTCAAACTTCTGCGGTGAGGGCTGCAGCACTGGACGTGGCAACAGCGAGGACGGATAGCACAAAAGGGACCCCAGAAGCGCGGCCACCTCTGCTCTGGGAGTGTTCCGGGAAACCTCCAGGGAGGTCAAGAGTATAGCACTCGCATGCACCAAATCCAGAAGCAACAAAGTGTGTCCCGGCAGCAGCAAACTCAGCAGCCTGGGCCCTTCCAAGTGCTTCAGTATGGCGTAAATCAAATCCCGATCCTCGCCAGTCAACAGCTGGTGGAGAGCGTGGTAGAACAGCGGCAGTTGTTGCATTCCAACTGCTCCCTGAATCGCCAGAGAACAAAGCAACTGCAGGGCCCAGAGCTTGCCCTTTTTGAAGGACCTGTCCAACGTGAGGGAACCATAGCACCAGGGCGCCACAATTCCGATCGGTGGCACCAAAACAGGAGGCGGTGGCGTGCTCTGATTGTCCGTGGATATTCCCTGGTTCTGCTTGATCTTGATCAAGTTTTGAGTCATCTCGAGCAAATGCATAAACACCTGGGCGTGCAACTCCGCCTTGGGAATCCGGTTCACATCTCCCAGAGCACCGAGCATGCGCTTCCACATAATGGAGGTGGAGTCCGGATGCCAGCCCTCCGCCGACCCACCCAGGATGATACATCGACGCCCGCTTCCAGAAACACTTCCAGAATTACTCCCACTGCCGTAGCTCCCTGAATTCGCATCATCCAAGCTCGCATCTATTTGCAGTTGGGCATCCTTGATGGAGCCACCCTCGATCCCACTACTGGCCGTGGGCGAAGGACTCCGGGAGCCGGCTCCGCTCTCGTTGTCTCCCTCGCGGTAGCTGTCGGTCTCCTCTTCCCCCTTTCGAGACAAGGAATCTAGGGACATAGCTCGCCTTAAATCCTGAGGATTGGTGCGATTCTCCGTCAGCTGAGGCTGTTGTAGCGGCTTCGGCTTTGGCGTAGCTGCTCGGCGTCTTCTAATCCTCGAATTTCTTGCTGCCGAAGCCAAGCTGCCCTCGCTGTAACTCCTGCTTAGCATGGGAGTCAGCGGAATGGGCCGCGTTCCCTGCCCTCCTTGTGATTGCGAGTGCTGGTGGTGGGGACGAGGATGATTTGTTAGGGGAACCTGCGCTGAGGTCTCCTCCGAGCGAATACTGCTGGACTCCGCCAGTGAGGCGCGTTGCCTGTTTTGTGAAGTGGCAGCTGCCACGGTGTTAGTGCCGTTGGCAGTGCTGCTCGATCCCGATCCCTGCCAGACGCTGCCAATGCGTCTTCGCTTCTCCGCTCGACTCTCCGCCACTCGATCCAGCGGGAGGTCCAACAAGCTGATGCCATACGTGTAGCGGGAAAATACCCTAGTCAGCGTTTGCATCGTCTTATTCCACTCCACGATGAGCTCCTCGCGGTGCGTCAGCGATTGCAGGACATTTAAGAACTTCTCCCACAGCTGGACGTTTACGGGAACTTTGGTATGCGCTCGTATCCAGGTTACAATAAGGGTCTGGAATATAGCCGATCCCAAAATTCCACCCAGAGTGCCACTCTTCGAACCACCACCGCCAGCCTGGTGATGGTTGTTTTGATGCAGCACCACCGATGAAACCTGCAGCAATACGAGGAGCAGCTGCTCCCAGGTGCGCGAGTCCATTTCTGTGTTCATAACCATGGTGCGGTAAACGCTCAGCACCTTCTTGCAGATCTCCGTTTGCTCCTCCAGCGGTGTGGAACGATAGTTCTTTGTCCGGGTGGGGAAGCAAATGTTCAGGTTGGCTGTGTTAACTAGAAACACGTTAGCGGCATTGGTCACAAACACCTTAGAGTAAATCAATTGAATATTATTTGACCCACAAGCATAGACAACCAAAGCTCACCTGCAAAACATTCTGTCTTCCCGCGCGGACGGCCAGCTGATCCTTCGATCCCGCCATAGCTCCCACGTAGGAAGGCGTGCGCAGCCGCTGACTTCTGGGAGTTCCACCCGCCGTGGATGGGGGAGGTGGGTCGTCATTTGGCTCCAATAAAAATGGCGGTGGCTCTCCTGTCATCCAGTCCCTGTACACTGCAATGGCTGTTCGAATAGCTTCGATCTGCGGCTTGGAGGTGAAGTTCAGCAAGAAGGCCTGACGATACACTTCATGGACAAAGTTAATGTTTTCGCGACTGACGTAGAACACGTCCCGCACAATCAAGCCCTGCTGGTAACCCAGCAAGCGCACGTGGTCCACGTCCTCAATGTGCAGGGTGTAGTCCAAGCGGTGACTCAAAAGACGCTCGTGAGTAAATCGCGAGACCCAGTTTATCAAGACAACCACACAGGACGCCATGACCTCCTCCTTCTTGTTGATCGACCGCATCACCGGCAGGTCCAACCGGGGACTGTAGATGGAGCAGCTGACATCGAATCCGGGCGAAAATACTGGCAGGAAGACGTCCATGAAACGCTGCAGCAAAAAGGCAAATGCCTTGTGGTCCTTCTGGGCGCGATTGTCGCGCCACTTGAGACACGCTGCCGTGTGAACCATGCTGTTTAGCAGCACTTCCAGACCATCTCGCGGATCGGGGGGAGCAGACTTCTCACTGGACGACGGCGGCAATAAGGCTACCAGCTCCGAGCTCTGCACCGGGTGTGAAAAGGCGTTGTCGTGAAATACGGAGGCCATTCCACCGTCTGCTTTCATGTTTGGATGACTGAGAAAGTCCGAGGCATTGAATTCGGTATCTGGGCCGCTGACTCCCTTCTGGGGAACGATGAGGCCAGGAATTAGATCCGCGTACATCGCATGCACATAGTTTGGAGCGTTTTCGCCCAGCGTCTGGTACCACAAAAGGAAATATCTGAAAAACATAGAAACTACATTATTTTTATTGTTTCTTCACATTCTCTTAAGGCACTCACCTGACACCCTCGCGTCTCAGCTTCGGGGAGTTTCCCAAATGCAACAGCTTGGCCATTATGCGACTGAGGGAGTGGCATTGCCAGCGACGAGCCAGCAGCTCCGGCAGCAGGCACAGGATCTTCTCCAGCAGCCATAGCGAACCGTCCAACTCCTCGCGATGCGCCTTGTGAACTGGGTGGAAGAGGCAGAAGCGCGATTATTGAAAGCCAAGCCATGGAAAGGGTAATCAAGCTCATGTATGCACTAAGGATACATGCCAATGGCTGGACAAGCACAATAGAATAAGAACAAGAATAAGGAGTATGTAAGCAGAATGGTGCCATTCAGAGTTATAGAGGTTTACATAGAGAAGAGAGGAGGGCATGGGGGATGGACGTAAGACATGAGAGTATGGTAACTAATTCCGAAAGCAAGACGTAGAGGCGGAGGAGGCGCGGATGCAATTTAATGGTCAATTCAAAGTGTCAATAAGAAACCACATAACTTACCAATGTGAAACGGAAGTTCTGCCAGGAGGGAGATTTAAAAATAGAGAGAAAAATTTTGGTAAAAGAATAGAAGAGGAGTTCAATTTAGAATATCGTGTGTGTGTTTCCGTTCCAATACTATCTCCACTCAGCGGAGCAGAGCATAAAGATAAACGAAACTCAAACAAGACACGGGCTTAAATGTCGTCGCAGTTTGCTTTTCTTAATTGGTAGAAAATAAATCGTCTCAAAAGATACGAGCAAATTAGCCAAAATTAAATGGGTCAAAACAAGGGTTTGTTTTGTTAAATAAGTCGACTTTTAAGTGCTCTTAAGTAACAGCATTTAAAACTCAAAAATATACGGAAGGGGTGGCTATTTTACAGAAACAAAATGCCTCTTGAACAACAAATAGAATTTAAAATAAAAACATCTATTATAGTTATAAGTTTTGATGTTTTTGAGCCGATTTGGGACTTTAGTTACCTTTCTGTTTCAGATTCGCCTCCGCTTGGATGAAGGTGTCGTAGAGGATGAAGTAGACATGGCTGTAGTTGGTCTCGAACAGCGACTTGGACTCTTCCAGCTCCACATTATCTGCAAAAGCAAACAATTATATTATATAGATAGTAGAAATAGTAGAATAGTAGGAAATAGTAGAAATAGTAGATTCTCTTTCCGTAGAGAACTGTTTTTTTGGTTTGCAATTTGGCTAATAGTTTCTTGCTGTGCATCGGCGATAAGACACCGTGGAAGTGGGGGCAACAACCAAGATAATGACGAAACGCAGTGCGGCGACATCAAATCGAGCACCTGGTCCCAGCACGGTTTTTACTGATAACACTGCAAATCCAAACCAGCCAAAAGGCAGCCAATATTTCCCAACCTATCTTTATAGAAAACCACGCATGACGATCCCCAGCAATGCCGAGCAAGTGTGGGGGCCAGAGCTATTAACTTCTGGCAAGGAAAAAAACACGTTATGATGGGTGCTCAGCGTTTGTGATGATTCAGGAAGGGGACAGAGCGGCGGTGGGTGGGCCGACTGCCTTTGCCGGCTTGCTGTCATCAGCAAAAGCAGTAAAAAGCAAAAGAAAGCTAAACAAAGTGATGAAGCAGACCGAGAAACCTTTAAAACCGGTTTATCAGAAGGCCAAACGCAAAGAAGATGATGACTGTTGAAGGTACACCGTAAAAAACGTACGGTATTTTCTTTTTTTAAGAAATATATTAAGAATATTAAAAACAAAAAGAAGACTTATATTCTATAAATAGAATACATTTCTTCTAATAAGCTTTGTGAATAATATATAAAATAATATTTTATTTTAAAATAAATGGTAACAGTGTGGTATTGTAAAAAAAAAACTAGGTAAAACCATAACAAAAACAATTGGGAACGCAGCCATTGGGAAGAATGTCTAATGCGTGTAATTTGCCAAGGGACAATAGGAAGAAACTTCCAACAATAGCAGCCACATTGCACCGGAGGGTGTCAGCCAGGTGTATTTGTATTTATGTATCGAGGGGCACCTGTTGGAAATCGTTCAGCGAGGTGACACAAAAGAAAGCCACTGAAACCAGGTGGCGAGGGGGCTGTTAGGGGTGCATTGCTCATATCGGCACTCGAAGCAGTACTTGCTGTACATTGCGCTGCTTAATATAGTCCAAATTATCTGAAATAGCTCTAAATTCCATGGGCGCCAGGGATTTGAATAACTAAAGCTCTTATCAGTTATACACTGCCACTTCCTTCTGCAAGGTCCAAGAACTTTTGGCCGTTTTAGCGAATCTAGACTGCCTCGACTCGCTCGCTCATTCGTTTATCATTTAACGTTTTTCACACATTTTCGCTTGCCACATAGCGGGAGCAAGTGTACGTTGCTTTTTTATCTCTTGCCGTTTTGTGCATAAATTAAAGCTTCTGTTTTTCGCAGGTGAGCACCCGGGAGGGGGTGGGGCTGGCTGAGGCTGGGAATGGCTCTTTCGCGCCCAACAGGAAATGACCAAAGCCATAGCCCCACTTTTGTTCCGCCGACTGTGGGCAGAACGTCATTGAGTTAGCCACCGTGGAGCGAAAATGGTCGGACCTACGCCCACCTGCCCAAAAGAGAAACAACATGAAACCAGAAAACAAATGCCAGCCAACTGAGCAACCAGTTTCATTGTTATTGCAATAATAAATTATGAAACCGCCAACGCGGGACCTTGGGGAGCTCTTGAAACATTTACCCAATATCATGCGGAGGTGGCGCAGTCTGGAGGCTGAGTCCTTCTTGCAGTCCTGTAGCTTCGCCGTCGACTTCTTCACATCCGCGTGCGACTTTTTGGTAAACATTTTGCACCTTGCGTTCTCTATTGCTCGCACACACACTCACTGAAACACACACGCACATACATTTAGTTGCAGCCAGCGGCATGTGTGTATACACTTTCTATTTGCTGATTTTTCAGATTTTCCAGCCTTTTTCTGCTGCTATTTATTTATACGCTCACGCCAACCCAAACACTTTTGTCCAGCGGAGCGCCCCCGGAGAAATTGCTGAATTACTGACGTTGTCAGTGGCGTGGGGCACGGGGGAGCTCTGGGGAGGTGGGCGCAGTTTGGCGATCTTCTGCTGCTACTTTTCGCTGTTCTACGGATTTATTTCATCTTTGAATATTCACGGGCACACCCGGCGACGCGTGACTGCACTTTAGGTCTATAGGCGACGGGTCTAGAGTACATTATCTTGGGTTTTGGCGTTAATGTTTTCTTTTTTCATCTGCGTCGCGTCCAGTTGGGTTCGTGGTAAGAGTTGCCAGACTCCTGAGCTGTGACCCAGTGCTGGGAATCGCCTCAATCCAATCTTTGCCTTAGTGCTGGTAAACTTTTGTTTTTATTTTAGGTAACGAATATTCAAATTGAACAGGGAAACACCAAGCAAATTCTTGCCAAAATATTATTTCCACAAGTATTAAGAAAGAAGTTCAAAAATTATATTACTTAACAATTATTTTTACACATATTCAATATATAATAAACATTTTATAATTTATTACAACCTATTTTGTTCTTAGAAGATTTTAAAATCCTTTTTTCTTCTTGGAAATAATATACAATAAAATAATAATATAAAATTGGAAATATAAAATATTTATTTCTCGTTTAAACCGAAAAAGTTATAGCATGTTGTTTTTGTCATTTGTGCCCTTACATTGAGTAATTAAGGAAAAGTAAAACCTAAGGAGAATCAACGCTATCCCTTTTTACAACTGGTTTTAGGAGTAATTTAGGAAATAAATTATTTAATCAGTGATAAGACTGTAATTACCCGCAGGTTATACACGTAACCACTTCCTAGCACAATTTAGTGCAATGAGGTTCGTTTTAAGGAAAATACGTCGGTTGCTTTTCGCCTGGCAGCGGCTAGTCCCAGCCAAATTCCGTTGGTACAAAGTTCACAGCCAGTTGGTGCTAATATGCCTGACTATAATTATATTTTTCAATATCCTGTTTGGGGTATATCTTGGTCGCTTTGATTTTCGACGAAGAAAGTTCGTGTTTTCAAAACTAGTTACAGCTTATTGCTTTGCAATGGCCTCGATTTTCGGAGCATATTATATCTGGCATGTATACAAGGAGATTTCCATAGGCCAGCTCAGCAGGAGTCATACCATAGAGATATACTGCTATATGAACGTATGTGTATGCCTTATTAACTATGTGACTCAATGGGAGAAAACTAGCCAGATTATTGGGTTTCAAAACAGCGTGCCACTTTTTAAAATTCTAAACTCGCTGGACATTTCGTTGAAGGTGGTCATAAGATCATTCACTTACAGCACAATTAAGACTTTTGCATGTCCTTTGATCGAGTACGGAACTCTGAGCCTCTACCAGAAAAGGGCTCACCCTGAACTGCAATGGACGAGCTTTGCAACGGCAAGGACGATGCTACCCGTGATTGTGGCGAATCAGATAAATAATTGCTTCTTTGGTGGCCTGGTAATTGCTGATCTGGTGCTAAGCTCTATTAATCAACAGTTAGAAAATATCGTCAAAGAGGCAAATATGCTACAAACACCCGTGCAAATGGGATTGCAGAAACCATATTACAGGATGCGACGCTTCTGCGAATTGGCGGACGGATTGGATGAGTTGGCCGAAAAATACTATTACTGCGCCATCCTTTCCAAAGGATATCTTCGCTTTACGGACTGGTCAATGGTTCTTTCTTTGCTGATGAACCTAATCGGAATCACACTAGGCTTTTACAATCAGTATATGGCTATTGCCGACCATTACATTAATGAGGAGCCCTTTGATTTTTATCTGGCCATGGTCGTTTTGGTGTTTTTGTCAGTCCCCTTCATGGAACTTGTAATGGTGGCGCGTATCAGCAATCAAATGCTACGGGAAGTAAGTCATGAAACTGTCATACAATATAATATTCTCAAATCTTTTACTATTTTTTTCGTATAGACGCGAAAAACTGGAGACCTTTTACAACACATTGACCTTCAGAATGCAGATGTACGTTTCAAGCAAGTCGTCCATTCATTTTGGCTACATGTGTCCACAATTGATTACAAACTAATGCCTATGGGTCTTCTAGAACTTAACACCACCTTGGTGAATTCGGTTTTTTCATCAGTCACTGGGTTTCTTTTAATTCTCATTCAAAGTGACTTGACATTAAGATTTTCATTAAAATAAAATTACCATGTAAAAATAAAATCAGCGTTATTATAATTTTTAAAATAAATATTATTATATTATGTTGTATTATTGAAACAACTTAGTTATAAAATTAATACAAAAAATATATGTGAAATAAACTTTTTATTTTTGTGTATTTAACAAATAGTGTTTTCAAAAAATACACGCAAAACGTATGTTGAGTGTACAATTTTATTGCCGTTTTAATAGGTTTATTTTCCAAATTTGAATGGGATAAATTAACTATTCAAATAAAGATGTAATTTCAAAGAGACCAATTCAGATACCGGCGGATGCAAGACAAGAACAGGGATGCCACCTTAGCTTAAGCTTTGAACTCTGTGGCAACTCTCCGAGAACAGGGTAAACTAAGTGACGTGTAAGCGCAGCCGAAAAGGCATTTAATTTGTTTTATCAACGCTTTTAACGAAACTTTGCCGATAATGGGTTCGTTCCGCCGCGAAAAAGACGAGGAGGAGGACGGTAAGTAGCTATTCAGCACCTGCAGCCCACTGGGCTTAGAGCTTGAAGCCGGATTGCAGGGAAAACTCCAGTTGCTGGAAGGTGCTCCGCTGGCAACGACAGTTTCCTTCTCGCACACTGCCACAGACACTCACACACTAACCCCCCCACACATACACACTCACACACACAATCACACCCACTAACCCCAACACACAGAGAAAAGAAAACGAAAAAACCACAAACACCGAGTTGCCTTAAAATTTCCGAATGTTCTCACGGAGAAAATGAATTATTTTTCGCTCAAAAAACAACAACGATCATCCCACTCCAAATCGACAGGGCCGAGCAATGCGTACCAGAATCTGGAGAAGACGTCGGTGCTGCAGGAGACGCGGACGTTCAACGAAACACCGGTGAATGCCCGCAAGTGCATCCACATCCTCACCAAGATCCTTTATCTAATCAACCAGGGCGAGCAGCTGGTGGCCCGTGAGGCCACAGATTGTTTCTTCGCCATGACTAAGCTGTTCCAGTCCAAGGATGTGGTGCTGCGTCGCATGGTCTACCTCGGGATCAAGGAGCTGAGCTCGATTGCCGAGGATGTGATCATCGTCACCAGCTCGCTAACAAAAGACATGACTGGCAAGGAGGATCTTTACAGGGCGGCGGCCATTCGTGCCCTCTGCAGCATTACAGACAACACCATGCTGCAGGCTGTGGAGCGCTACATGAAGCAGTGCATCGTGGACAAGAACGCTGCCGTTTCCTGTGCAGCCCTGGTCAGCTCCTTACGTTTGGCCAGTACCTCCGGCGACGTGGTCAAGCGATGGGCCAACGAAGCCCAGGAAGCCCTGAACAGTGACAACATCATGGTGCAGTACCACGCCCTGGGACTGCTCTACCACATCCGCAAGTCCGACCGGCTGGCTGTTTCGAAGTTGGTCAACAAGCTAACTCGTGGCTCCCCGAAGAGCCCCTATGCTGTGTGCATGCTGGTGAGTCATTATTTCAGTTAGTTTACATTTGAAGTGTGTAATAGCACTCCCTTTCTTGTAGATTCGCATTGCTTGTAAGCTAATCGAAGAGGAAGACATTCCCGCCGAGGAACTGTCCGACTCGCCGCTCTTCACGTTCATAGAGTCGTGCCTGCGCCACAAGAGCGAGATGGTGATCTACGAGGCGGCTCATGCCATTGTCAATTTGAAGAACACAAATCCGCGGATGTTGTCGCCGGCATTTTCGATTTTGCAGCTTTTCTGCAGCTCACCGAAGGCCACCCTCCGTTTTGCCGCAGTACGAACGCTTAACAAGGTAGCCATGACGCATCCGGCCGCGGTGACCACTTGCAATCTCGATCTGGAGGGCTTGATCACAGACTCCAATCGGTCAGTGGCCACGCTGGCAATTACAACCTTGCTGAAAACCGGCGCCGAATCTTCGGTGGAGCGTCTGATGAAACAAATATCCACCTTCGTGGCGGAAATCTCTGATGAATTCAAGGTGGTTGTTGTCCAAGCCATTTGTGCGCTATGCACCAAGTATCCGCGCAAGCACTCCGTGCTCATGAACTTCCTTAGCGGCATGCTGCGTGAGGAAGGTGGATTGGAGTACAAGACATCCATTGTGGACACAATCATCACTATTATCGAGGAGAATGCGGATGCCAAGGAGTCCGGCTTGTCGCATTTGTGCGAGTTCATTGAGGACTGTGAGCACGTTTCTCTGGCGGTGCGAATTCTCCATCTGCTTGGAAAGGAGGGTCCGTTTGCAGCTACGCCTTCGAAGTATATTAGGTTTATATACAATCGTGTTATTCTGGAGAGCCCGATTGTGCGAGCAGCAGCTGTCACGGCCTTGGCCCAGTTTGGAGCCTCTTGTCCGGCTCTTCTGAGTAATATTTTGGTCTTGCTCGGTCGATGCCAAATGGATCCCGACGACGAAGTCAGAGATCGAGCCACCTATTACCTGAGCATCTTGAACTCGGAGAAGCCAGAGCTTTACAAAAACTACATCATTGAGAGGGAAAACTGCTCGTTGGCTCTGCTCGAAAAATCGCTATCTGAGCATCTGAATGGCGATTTGGAGACACGTTTCGATATTTCAATAGTCCCCAAGGCTGCGATCGTCAAGGTAGAGGTACCCAGCGATGTGATGTTGGTTACGAGCAGTGCTCCACGGCCGCCTAAGATCACGCGAGAGGAGGAGAGCGCAGCTCGATTGGCCCAGTTACCGGGTATCCAGGTTTTGGGACCCATCCATCGTAGCACCGCTCCCATCCAGCTCACTGAAAGTGAAACCGAATACACTGTGCAGTGCATCAAGCACATCTTTGGGCAGCACGTGGTCTTACAGTTTGATTGTCTCAACACGCTGTCTGACCAGTTCCTGGAGAACGTGCGGGTGGAGCTCACGTTGCCCGAAGGATTCACAGCCCGGGCGGTCATTCCGTGTCCCAAACTACCATATAATGAGTTACAGACGACGTTTGTCATAGTGGAGTTCCCACCCGACCCAGCCAGTTCCATAGGTATATGTCCGCTCATCCTTATCCTAAAATCTTACTAAAGTTTATCTCTTCTAGCCACGTTTGGAGCCACTTTGCGGTTTGTGGTCAAAGACTGCGATCCAAACACTGGCGAACCGGATTCCGACGAGGGCTATGACGATGAGTACATGCTGGAGGACTTGGAGATCACAGTTGCCGATCAGATACAAAAGACGAAGAAAAATAACTTCCAGGTGGCCTGGGATGCGGCTGACAGCGAAGGTAAATGTGCAAGAAGTTCCTAGTTCCTTGAATTACCAATTAAAAATACTAATTTATGTTTTTTAGAATGGCTACAAGCCGAGGACACTTTTGTTCTGTCAGCGGTTACCACATTACAGGATGCTGTCAATACAATAGTGAAAATACTGGGATTAGGCGCAGCAAACCTATCTGAGAAGGTACCTGAGGGCACGCACCTGCACACGCTGCTTTGTTCGGGTAAATAATCAATCGAACATTATTACAATAAACAAAAATTAATAATAACATTTAAAATGTAAACCTCACAGGTACCTTCAGAGGCGGAGCCGAGGTGCTTGTCCGAGCCAAGTTAGCACTGTCCGAGGGTGTGACGCTGAATCTAACCGTGCGCAGCACAGATCAGGATGTGGCGGAGCTCATAACGGCGGCCATTGGATAAGACAGCGAGCCATGCAGGAACCTGGTAGGGTTCTTGCGTGCTGCCAACATAATCTGAACATCCACTGAAACGAAACAGAGAAAACTACACTTAATCAAAATATGATTTTAACCTTAAGTGATTGTCTCTATAATAATTTTAGCCCTCTGCCCAAGATCCGGCATGTGCAACATTGATGGTTTGTTACTGCCCATTTCCAAAAAGTTTTATGTGGCTCCTGCGATGCATCCTTTGATATATACTGTATATGTTTGTGCCCCGATTAGCCTGTGCATTTAGCCTAAGTATGAAAACAAAAAATCTAAATAAATATATATGCAATGCAACCCAAAATAAAAGTATTTTTAACTCAGACTTATTCCAAGCCCAAAAAGCCAACGCATCAATTATTTTATAATATATTTTTATTTAATTATAAATAACTTAAAGTTTCAGTAACCTAAAGTACTTTTGTTTTCCTATTTATACAATTTTTTGAATCGTTTATTTCGCTGCGTTTTCAACATTCGTCTTAAATTACATTATCTCTCCCTCGCATGAATTTATAATTTCTTGTGCTTTTGTTCGCTATTGATTTCTCCGTTCAAATCCTTGGATTTTAGCTATATTGAATATTTTTATAAAATTTCTCGTGACAATCCACCAAACATCAATGCGCGCCATTCGTAGTTATTATTTATTTAAAATGTTCAACTCACGCAAGTACAAAAAATAAAGTAGGGTGGTAATAACAAATAACACACTCACGCAGTTCGCAGTTCGCAGCAGTTTCACAATGATAATTTCATTTTGTTACAATTTCTATACTCGTCCCCAAATGTGTTGAATATGTCATTAGATATATTGTATTTATGTAATTGCGAGTGGATGTCTGTGTGGCTCTGTTTTGTGGTCGCTTCCCTTTATTATCTTTGCATGCACCCAGCCTTCCTGCCAAGCGCCGCGCCGAGTATTCGAATAGAGATGTACAAAATCTTCAGCACTCACATAATTTCATCGAATTTTGCTTTATAATACAAACTAGATTGATTCTTAGCTTTGATTCCGCTTGTCCTGTTTGATAACTTCACATACTGGCATACATACATTCTAAAATTATTTTACAATTAACATATTTCGTTTACACTTTTCGTTAAGGTTTACTTTGCTTGTCCATCTTGTTCATTTCGGGGGGAGGCTGTGGGGCGCGAGTGGGCCCGGTAGCCGAAAGCCCGGAGCTGAAAGTCACAACACTGCTCCGGCACTTTAGTGGGTCGCTGACTGGTACAGGGATGATGGTAGCAGCTTAGGAAGGGGATCGGGGCCTTGACTATTGAGCAGCTTGAGTCTTACAACTAAGATACAGTTAATGCTTGGATATTTTATACAGTGAGTGAGTGCTAGCTGGTGCTGGTGGTTGATTGATTGGTTCCTCAGGGACTACCGGTTCCTTGCATTCCCGCCGCCAGCTTCAACACTTGAACTTGACCCAGGGAACATTCTTGGAAGACACGCATTTGTCGCAGCACCATTCGGCAAACACCTCCTTGTTGAGCATTTGGAAGGCCGCCTCTGTCAAGCCGACGCAGGTTCTGAGGAACACAAATAAAATTAGTTTCAGCATTTTTAGGGGAAATGCACCAACCACAACTCACCTGTGAAAGAAGAAGTTACAACCGGATTCACAGAAAACTGCCTCGTCGTTGTCGTTCACTTCCTTGTGGCACATGCCACAGGGATAAATAGGTGGCGCGTTCGGATTCTGCGGGTTAAAGACCATCGGCTGACCCGGCGGATACATCTTTCCGCCTCCCATTGTCATCGGCTTGGGCCCCACGCCCATTGGCCCGCCCATAGGTCCACCCGGACCCATTGGACCCATGTTTCCCATCGGGCCGCCAGGTCCCATGGGTCCTACGCCGCCACCACCAAACATATTTGGCCCTGGTCCAGGCCCGCCCATGGGATTGTGATGGTGATGCGGATGTCCGACGTGGTGGGGTGGCATATGCGGGTGCGGAGGTCCGTTCATGCCTCCGGGGCCGGGTCCTGGACCGGGAACTCCTCCCATATGACCGTGACCCATATGCGGACCTGCATTTCCGTGCGGTCCACCCATCATATGGGGATTCGGTCCGCCACCCATGTGAGGCGGCATGCCTCCCGGACCACCATGCATTCCGGGGCCAGGTCCACCTGGGCCTCCCATCATGTGAGGGGGAGGCGGTCCACCAGGGTGATGATGGGGATGCGGATGTGGGTGATTCATCATTTGTGGATGCGGGGGATGCGGAGGCAGCATCTGGTTCATACCCATGCCAGGCCCTGGACCAGGACCGGGGCCTTGACCAGGTGGTCCGCCCATATGCTGTTGCTGCTGATGCATAGGAACTGCGTTCGGATTCATCATGGGTCCGTTATTATTATTACTACCATTTGGGCCATTGGGACCATTCGGACCCATGGGACCCGCCGGCGATTGTAGTGGGCTGGGTCCGGCATTGGGCATTCCTGGACTTGGGCCGGCACTATTCAGCGAATGGTGTGGTGACATGGCAGGCGGCGCTGGCGAGGATGTAGGCACTGACGTGGACATCGACGTGGCCGTCGATGTGGGCGTGAGCGAAGGCGTTGGTCCAGTGGCGGGCGAGGGAACCGAAGATGCAGAGGAGGATGCCACGCCGGCAGAGGGCCCGTTAGGCTGCAGTCGTCCAGCTACCGGCGAGAGGTGAGGAATTTGATTGTTGATGTTGCCATTGTTATTGCTTCCGTTATTGCCCCCGGGGTTATTACCGCCAAGCATATTGTTCCCAGGAGTATTATGCGCGGGGGAAATGCCACCAGGACCCACGACGCCGCCTGGCCCAGGCCCAGGTCCTGGACCTGGTCCACCAGGCATGTGACTCCCGTGACCCGTGGGACCGTTGCCCAACGGACTATGCAATGGTGGCGGACCCATCTGTCCATTGTTCATCGGTGGCTGCGGAGGTTGTTGCTGTTGTTGAGCTCCGGGATTGGGTCCGGGTCCAGGTCCAGGCCCTGGCCCTGGGCCGGAGGGAGGACCTAGCGGGCTTCCTATTGGGTTACCCATTGGAGAACCCATGGGCAGCGAGTTCATAGGCGAGTTCTGGCCAGGCACACCTCCCATCGGAGAACCCTGCATTGCTCGTGGATTAGGGCCGTTGGGTCCACCGCCCATGGGCGACAGGCCACCCATGCCCATGTGGTGAGGTGATATGCTGGGCCCACCCATTCCACCCATTGGGCTCATTCCTCCCATACCGGCCATTCCGCCCATCGGACTACCCATTGGTACTGGGCCTCCAGGACCTCCAGGTCCCGGTCTTCCGTGATTCATATGGGGTGGCAGTCCCACACCCGGTCCGGGACCCATCTGATGCGGATGCATCGGACTCATTCCTCGCATTGGCGGAGGTCCTCCCATGTGCGGATGCGGACCGTGGGGATGACCCATGGGACCGCCTGGATGATGGGGATGCATGTGCGGGTGCATGTGCGGCGGCGGCGGTGGTCCTCCACCCATGCCCATCCGATCTTCCCAGTGCGGATGCCCGCCGCCGCCTCCAAAATGGCCTCCAGGTCCTCCGCCGGGTCCACCTCCCATCTGGTTCATAGCCGCCATCGCCGCGGCCGCCGAGCTGGACATGGCGGAAACCTGGGGGCTGTCGTCAAACGGGTTTGAGGCAATGATGGTATCTCCGAAGCCACCCATCGGCGGAGGGGGCAGCAGATCCTGCGGCGTCGGCGGCGCTTGTTGCTGTTGCATTGAGTTAGCAGCAGCTGCTGCTGCCGCCGCCGCAGCCGCGGCTGCTGCCGCATTGTTGGCATTAGAAGTTTTCCGCCGCTTTTTCGGATTACTCGGCGCCGAGATGATATCCGACGGCGGCGGCGGTTTAAAGTCAGGTGGACACAACCCACCCGCTGGACCCGGCAAACGATATGGCGCCATACCGAGATTATGGGTCATATTCGAGGTATTTTTCTTCCGAATGGTGGCAGCTTTTTCTTTTACTACGGGGCGCAAGAAATTCGTTTATGAGCGGCGTCGCCAATCCCACGTTGGAGATCTCGACGCTGGTAAAGAGGGTGGGTGAGGTCTCTTTAAAGAGAGAATAGGCTCAGGGTTTGGTGGAACCTCTGCGGATTTCTATCTGGTTAGATAATTTCGGTGGTTTTTCGATGTGTTCCGGTTATCCACTTGGCGCGGCTTGCGTCGGCCAAAGCGTTGTAAGTCTAGGAGAGCTACAAGAGGAAATGAGTCTCTGAAGGATTTCTAACAATACCATTAACTCACCCAATCATCTCCTGACCAATATATGTTCTAAACCAGAAGACTAACGGGTCTTCTGTAAAACACTGTCGTTACGGCGTGACCCGGCACCGTCAAGACCTTGAGAAACTGGTAAAAACAATTATAAGATTAAACATCTATGTTATTAGATTAATCCAAGCCGTTTACCTTTTTATTTCCTTTCCATGGTTCTATCCAAAGTCTCTGTTTTGAAGGAGCTTCTCATCCGTGAATTTGCTGTAAACAATCTTCGCCCAGAAGTAATTTTGGGCCTACGACCAAGTTCCTGGTGTGAAAACATGGTTTATATAAAACTTGACCTTCTTAATTGCCAACATTATACAAACCCGCTGGTATTTCGTTCAATATTGATCCAAAAAGTTAGTTTTTAGCGAAGCCTCGTTTGCGAAATCTAGTAAACACTTTCCGCACTATGGATGGCAACCCCACTACTTTTCGGGCTGGCAACTCTACGCTGGCCACTCAGCGCTGAGCGTCGTGTTGTCTCGTTTTAAAAGCGCCAAGCACCTGCCGCCGCTTGTTTGCAGCAAATAAATATTGCCCTCACTTTTTTGTTTATAACTTCTGGACTCACTACCACCTATTTCTGCCAAATATTGCATTAAATTCTTGGCTTCTAAAACTTTCTGGCACACTCGCACTCTTCTTCTTTCCAGCGATTTTATGTCCTTTTCGCACCACCGCGGTAGCAAATCGCTGCGTTTTCCCTTAATTGCAATGCACTTCTCGGTTGTTGCATTTATTTATTTATGTATTTGGCAGTCATTCCGTTGGGTTTACCAGCGTTTTTTACAGCAGAATTCAGTTTCCCGCTTTAAGTTGGCTGCAAGTCGGTTTTCTTTTTGTTGATGGCCGCTGCTGCTGCTGGTGCTGGTGCAGCATCAACTTTTAATGAGCGGTTCGAGAATAGAGCGACCATGCGCGATTTTCCGCTAAGCACACAAACGAATCCCGGCGGGCGGTGCACTAATCCGTTATTTAGCAGCCGCACAATAACCTTTGTTTATTTTGCCAAATTTTTGCGTGTGCGGAGAAGCGAAATATAAATAATTTTCATGGCAAGACCGCCAGTGTAACCGTGTACAAGGAAGAAGCAAAATGCCGGAATTCCAGCAGGCCGCAGTGTGGCCAGAGGATCGGCGGTATCGAAATTAAATTTTTTTTATAAATTTTGCAATCTAAAGAACAGGAAAACGTAAATTAAAATGCTGACCTTTCAAATTTAAAACAGTGAAATCAGCTAAAGGTTTTTAAAAAATTGTAAAAGATATTTCCGTTACATTCAATTATTATTTTCTGCGGATCGATAGGCGATAACCTGAAGGGCATCGCTCGGCTCCCATCTTTAAAAGCAATGACGCTTGTTTTTTTGGCGGCGGCTGTTTGAAACCTTGCGAATTTTTGCCAAACAAAAGAATACAAGTTTGTTACTATGTGGAGCAACTTTGAAGCCTCCGCGGTAGAGGATGAGACCATCTCCAACGTGTTTTCTTCGCGGTCACTTTTCCAAATCAGCAGCGACGAGGAGGCAAGTATATTATTTACAGTTATTGAAAAACAGTTATTGATCATGGATGCCTATTAGGTGGATAAATATCCCGAGGTCAAGGCCTCTGTGCAATGCGGAAAAATGGCGATAGCCATCGACAAAAGTCTCTTGTTGCTCGAGGACGAGCTGGTTGCCAAGTGCAGCTTCCTCAGCTTTGGGGCCACAATCGAGGCGATTGCCATGTCTTCCAGCGGAAATCTTATTGTCTGCGGACTCAGTGACGGCGAAGTACATGGTGTGTACATCAAGGGCCTGCTGCTGTTCAGCGTCTGTGTCAATCTGGACGATGTGACCCTTTTAGGCGGTACATTCCGAAGCATTCATCAACTGGACCATCGATTCTACTTCTCCTGCAGGAATGGCAGCATCTATAGGTATATAGGTTTGAATTAACCTATTATTATCCTTTTATTGGACAATTACTAAGAAAGATGTATATTCCAAGATGTATAACCATGTACATCAGTCTCTTCGTTTCTAAACTTCATTGGTAATAGAACATAATTGTATGTTTAATTCTAATTAACATTATTTTAGGCTAAGTGACATTGATGAAGCCACTCTAGAATCAGTGTGCAATATTACGGTTAATGAAAACGAAACCATTGCCTGCGAAAAGGCAATCCTAGATGATGTCACTATTAAGAGAATCTCGAAGGGTAAATCCCTGGCCAATGTGGACTGTGTTGTGCTGCTCTTCCAAATGTCGGCAGTCCACATCAGTGCTCAAAACAATCCGGAGGATCATGGAGTAAATCATGCGCTTGTGATCTATGGCGACCAAAATACATTGAACTTCAAGACCTCATCCAACGATGTTACCCGTGTAATCCTGCCGGCCCACTTGGGCAGCCTCAAACAGATCTTCAACCTGGAGCACTACATGTAGGTTCATCTTATAAGTTTATTTTACTTGTGGATACCGAGTCTCATGTATCTTTTGCCACAGAATCGCTCTTACCAGCTCTGGTCACCTATTGGAAATCTGTCCGTTCACACGCACATTCCACGTGCCTCAATCCCTCGAAAGCCAGGCCCTTCTCATCGAGGATATTCTGGTAATGGAGTGTAATGAAGAGAACATAGAATTGCTACTTCTTACAAAGCCAACGGACGAGAGCCGCTTTATTAAAATTGTGGAGTATCCATGTAAGATATAATGGGGTTTTTATCTATCTAGCTTCTAATATAACTTTATCTTAGCATTGAAATGCAAAAACGAAGTGGATGTGCCCAACCATGCTTGGCTAGTTCATCAACCCAAGTGTGCGGTCAATTTGTACTATTTGGCTGCCCAAGAGCTGAATCAAAACAAAATACCATCTATGGTTCATATGATGTTGGTGTCTGAAACCGACCCAACTGATCGTTTTAAGAAGCTAATAGCTAAAGGTCGCCTGGAGGAAGCAGAGGTAAAAGGAGACCCAGTAATACATAAAATAAAAACTTATTCTTTTGAATACCTTATAGGAATTCGGCGTGCAATTCGAGCTGTGCCTGCAGCCCATTTACGAGGCCAAGGCGAAACGCATTCTGGTAGAGATGTGCAATTCACATCAGCAAATGGAACCGTCCGATGCGGACAAAAAGTTCCAAAACTTACTGCAGTTGATGACGAAGATCGAGAATAAATCCTTTTTCAAAAATCACCGCATGATAAACTTGAGTTCTCGTCAAATTTTGGAGCGTTATCTTCGCGAAATTCAAAAGCGTTTGAGTTTTGAGGTATATATTTGTGAAGTAGTTTCTTGGTTTTATTAAAAATATTGAAATTAACTTTTTTCATTCAGGACGACGAGCAAGATATGCTGCAAATAGACGAGCAGCTGCACCGTCTCAAAACCCTCGCCATAATCGATCCCTACGAGTGCAATACGGACTGGCAGAAGTTCATTTACGACAATAATCTGATTCGTATGGTTAAGTCCCTGTTCAACACAGACATGCCAACGGCCTGCCTGATCTGGAAGCGGCACTCAAGTAGCATACTTCCTCTGGTGAGCGAAAATGATCTTCGCATGCTACTGGGGTATATTCCGGGAAACACGAAGCCGTTCAACATGGTGCAGTGGCTCCGGCAGTTTACCCCGCTGGTCAGCAACACTCATCCCAGTATCATGCCGTTTATTACGGACTGGAGCATTGAGATGACACGAAAACTTCAGTACAGCCCCCACTGGCCGGACATTGGTTTAGAGTTCTCCACCAAGATCCTGGAGATTTTCGAGGAAATCCGATTCACTTACTCGTGAGTGCTGAATTAGAAACCTAAAAGCCAATAATAATTTTTCGTTCAAAGGGATGTGCGTCGCCAACAGGAGCGCAACGTGGGAAAGCTTCGCGAGTTGGTAAACGCTCTCCAAGATCTGTCTGTGCTGAAAACAAACTATAACATGGGTTTCACGCTGGACAACTACATGCAAGACACTCTCGACGCCACTGCGCTGAGCATCCTGCAGCACGTCCAACTAGACAAGTTGAGGCACCTTGTTGAGAACTTTATGTACCCTATCTTTCAAGAAAAGGGCCGCCAGCCGCTGGAAGTTATCAAGCAGTACATTGGCCAATTGGTGGCTAGCCGCCAGTCTTCAAGCAATTGGCTGGAGCGAGCGATGGCCTGTATTGACCTTCTCCACAACGAAGACAGTCGCCTGGAGTGCGCATTGTCCGTTCTGCAAAACGCACCAGTTCCATGGCCAGACACATTAGCTCCTCTGATCCGCCTACGAAACTCCACCCACCCGGTGGCGATGAAGATCAATGCCGAGTATGAGATTCAAGTGATCAAGATCATGAAGGTGAAGTACGGCTGGCCAGCAGATAGTTCTGCGGATATTAACCTGGAGAAGTTCATGATGCGAATCGTCAAGTTGGACCTCCCGGACATGTTGGAGGATATCCGCACGCTGACCAAAGCGGCGCCCCACATCGCGATCAGTGCTAACTTTAACTGCTGCTATCAGATGGCAAGACGGGGACAAATCGAATCCGCCTACGAGTTTTTCAAATCCCTCACTGGTGGGACTAAGAATTCCAAGGAGTGTGCGGATGTGGTTGAACTCTTTGCGAATATCCTTGAAAGCAGCTCATCCGTTTCGTTCGTTAATGACTCTAAGAAGCAAGAGTACCAAAATGTCCTCGAGCTTTTTAAGCTGTTTCTACCCCACGCCGAATCTGTCTATGAACGGCGGTACCTGATGATCAAGCATTGTTTCCAGTTGCGACATAACTTCGACATTAGGCTGAGGTGCAGCAGTGAGTTGGTGTCTCTGAAGAGGCGACACGAGCTTCTGGATGAAGCCATCGAACGTATCATTGAGCGCGCACAAGCAACTTTGAACGTATCTTCGTTTATTGCCAGTCAGAATCGGGAGCTTTGCACGGCCCTCAATCTTTCTCCTGTGTTTGGCTTGCACCGTATTTGTGAACGGATTGGATGCCTGCCCCTTAGTTGCGCCCTGGCCTACCATGTTGTACAGTTCATCGACTGTACGCCATCCAATGTCAGTGACTTCATCAATCTGGCTCTTGAGCTGCTGGTTCAGCAAATCGGCTGTGCCAGGGGCAGTACTCACGGTTCGTTTCTGATCTGATATTTGAAACGATCCACAATGTTTTAAATATTTTATTTCGTCTAGAAAATCCCTCATCCATGCAATTGATATCCGAGAGCGACCCTTTGAGCTTTCCACTTGCCTACGATTTGCTAACCTCCGCTCTGCTCCACGAGCCGAGTCGTCGCCGCGATCTTGTGGAGCTCATCATGTACATTCGCGTTGCAGTGATCCACTACTCAGTAGATGCCGTCAAGCAACACTACGACGGAAGGGAGCAGGCCGTAAACGAACACATCTGTCGCGCCCTTGACGGGACTACTGTGGCTCTCGGAGACACAACGATAAACTTCTCCAGTGCCCTGAACGACAGCATTGATGTTAAGCCCGTGCAGCCGACCACTTCCAAGAAGCGCTATTCGGTTTCCATGTTCGACGAGGTTGAAGTGCAGCCAGTCCATCAAGTACACCTGAAGGTAATATACTAGTTATTAAATACAAAAATTAAATTACTAATTGAATGTATTTAACAGAAAAACATAGGCGGCCAGTTGCCCATTGTAAAGTTCCTGGCCCGAACCCTGTTGCTCATGGTAATCGAGGCTGAGCCGAGCAACTCGTTGCTGATGCAGATGCGCCGAGCTTTGGCGGAGAATGTTATCTCGGATGTCGAAAACGCTCGGGCTGACTTTTTTGTGTCCTTGGAGTACCTCACCAAAGCCAAGGAGCACGATGTGTGGTACGTGATGTCGCAGTACTTGCTGGAGTACCAGAAGTACAACTGCCGAAAGAAACGAATCATCAACGAGGGCTTTATTACGTTGCAACTGCGTCGCATATTCCGGAACGCAATGAGCAACAAGGATGCCAATTTTATAGAGCTCTTCACCATGCTGGTCTCCGACCGAGAGGCACTAGCGCTGCTGGAGAAGCTTTCCACAGAAGTGAAGACGGACCTTCAGAAGATAAACTTCCTGACTTTGTCGGCCATGTACAGTGAACACACCGAGGACATGGAAAATGTTCAACTGCTGCGTTCCAAGTGAGTTGGTGGTTTTATAAAGTAACTTGAAAAAGCCATATCGAAATATTTTTTTAGGCGCCTTAAACTGTACTATTATTTGGAGTTCTGCCAGCAAGATCCTAGAATTAGGGGAAAGTTCAATGCAGACATGGACAACATAGAGGACCTGCTTAAGCAGTTCCACAACAAGAAACTCGATGTACAGCTCTTGGAGCGCATGAGCAAGGACTTTGGCCTCGACTACCAACGCATTCTTGTTACCCAGGTTCTAAGTATCCTCAGTTCGCAGGAGCTGCGCTTCGATGTCAAGCGAGATACCTTTGGCGATGAGGAGCTAGTGGTCCTGAGCAGCGCTCAGGAAATGCGGGAGATGTGCCAGCCCTACATAAACGAGATTAAAAACGTGGAGCTTCTTACATCCAAGTTAAAGCTTTTTATAGAAGAGGTTAGTTGACAGCCATCGAATTATTTAATTCAGTCAAATATTGAAGTTTTCCCCACTTCCCTGTTCAGATAAACATCTATTTTTATGAGCTGTATATGTGTGTGGTTAATCTCCTGATGTACTTTGATGCGGCTCCAAAGGAAATGGAGATCTGGACAAACATATTGCACTTCCTGCGTCACAAAATGATCAACAGACGTCGCAGTCGTCCAGGCCAAATGGAGACGGACATGTGGCTTAAATCGCAGAAGGAAAATGGAGTACTACCCAAGATCGCGCGTTATCGTTTGCCCTTTAAGGCTATTATTGAGCAGCCGCTAAAGGACATTCTAGGTAAGTGACTTTAACAAGTTCTTATAGACAGAAATCGAATGTGATTTCAATCTTTCAGATAGCGAGCTGAATGTAGACAATTGCCAAAGCTGGTTCCCATTAATCCAGATGTACACGGCCTTGAAGGGCTCCAAGGACAGTTCGCAGAACTGCGACTACTTCTGCATGTCGGCGGTTAAGAACTCCATAGAGTACAAGTCGAAGAGCGAGTCTGAGTCGTGGAGCTTACACCCCACCAACAACGCCTTCCTCAAATCGATCCTGCGCTTGGTCGAGAAAGTACGAAATCCCAACAAGGCCTTCCTGATTCTGTACTTCGTTGCAAACTATGCTCGTGACGGTGCCGACCAGGTGGAGGCTCACTACGAGTGCTGGAAATTCGTCAAAGAGAAGGGCGAGTTGATCACTGACGCCAAATGCCAGGAGCAGGTGGCGAAAGTGAAGCGGAGGTACCCCATTCAGAAAACTCAGCACCTGCTGAACATCTACGGTCTCACGGATGAGAAGCTGATGTGCCTGATTGAGAACCCCATTGAGCTAATTTACAGCTTGTACCATCACGAGCTCATTTTGACGTCCAGCAAAGTGGACATTAATGCTCTGGTCAAGGAAATCGCCAAGCTGCACGACCTGTGTTTGGACACCATCCAGTACAGGCTGCTGCAAAAATGGCTTTCGGTGACAATGGAGACGGCAGATGGTACCATGCTGGAAGAAACCCTAATGGAGGAACAGCATTGGACTGAGCAAGCCAACGGTGGTGACACAATAAGTAGCCAGGATGCCAGCGAAAATGTCAGCAGGGCTTTCTACATCCTCGACAGTTGGCCGAAGGCCGAGGCGGTCAAGTTCCTTGTGGGCGTAATCTTCAAAGGAGGGTAAGAAGACTGACAGCTTTCCGGATGTTTAAAATATTTTATGTAATCTATTTACAGCTCTGTGAACACCTCCACCCAGCTGCAGATGTACGAGTGCTATTCAAAACTCAACGACGGCAGCAATTCCTTCACTAACACCATCAGCCAGCGGCAATTTATTGGCATTAAATGCGTGCACGACCTCAAGGCCCTCGGGTACAAGTCGAACCTCGAAAAGTTCTCCGACGACCATTGTGACAAGATAGAGATCCTTAAAATGATCTGGCAGCGCAATGCCCAGAATCCCTTATCCTTGGAGGTGATGGCCAACATTTGTCTGGGCTTCGACATTCATTTACCCAAAATCTGGAATGGCATTCTCAAGCGGATGGTCATGTTTCACATGGTGGACGAACTGAACGCCTTGTTGGATGTTCTCAGTTGTCGGCCTCCTTTGCTGCATTTGGATGGATTGGCCCAAGCCTGGGACTATGTGCTTTGTCACCCTTTGACGAATGCTGTTCAGACGCGCTCTTTTGCACAGGAGGAGCAGCTCCACAAGACTCTGCTCCGTCTGCAAGGGTGTCCTGTGGTGCATGCTCTCAATCTGGTGCAGTTCGCCGAACATTGTGTCCTTATCCAGCGGCCACACATGGCAGCGGCGTTGCTTAGTTTTTGCCAGAAAGCCGAACAGAGACAGGAAATTCGAAACGTAAGAAGAGTTATACCACTTATTTATAATTTCTATTAAAAAAATACATCTTTTTTAGAAAATATTATCCCGTCCTGTCGAGAACCTACGCCAGCAGATCCTAAACCTGGAAGACGCTGGCATACTTCCAGTAGTTCTGAACTTTGCGCTCAAGGAACTAAAACTTTAAAGAAGAAAATTTAATATTTTGTAAATATCCAAGAAATCATTTTTCTTAAAATACCTAAATGCATTGTTGAAAATATATTTATGAAACAAGTTTCAAAATTAAATTTATTTGTATATATTACAAAATATTTATTTTGGGAGTTTTTTATTTTAGTGTAGGCTTTGCCTCCGAAGTTGAATACAAAAATGAGATTAATATTTAGTGATTAACACCACCTATCTGTTATCTCGAGTTAGTACCCTACTAATAATACAACCAAAAAACATGATGACGTCATTGGTACACAATGCTATTTAGGAACAGTGGGATATAATCATTACCGTAGAACTCTTAGAAAAATATATTAAATTTTAAGGTTTTAATAAAGTTTTGTTGCGTAAAAAAAACTTTAGAAGCCAATATTACAAAAATATATATTAGTAGCAGTAACTGAGTGGTAAGGCCCACTGTACCAATCAGCTGTTTCCACGACCAGCTGACTTTACTTCAGCTATACAGAAGTTGCGGACGCAAAACTATAAAATAATTTAAAATTTATTAAAAAAAATATAATGTTGCGGTCACTTGTGGTAGCAGAAAAGTGTTGGAGCTTCAGGAGCTTCATGCAAGGCAGGAACCTCATGAAGGTGGCCAGTCAACAGGCACCCATTGCCTGGATGGCCTCTAGGTGAGTGGCTTTGGCATTCATCATTTACACATACTATGAATGGGGCGTTTTTTCCGATTAGGCGTCACTATTCTCCTGCTATTCATATTCACCGATCGGTGCCTAATGAATCTGGAACAATGGCCGAAGGTGAGTAGTTAGAGTAGTCCTATCCATAATGAATTAATAAACTATGAGATTCACAGTCAAACAGGGAATGATGAAGCGCTTGGGACTAGAACCTGGCTATAACCCTCAACCCAAATCCAGGGAACATCTTTTAAAATACCAACCCAAGCTGGAGGATCTGCCGCCACGAGCAATGGAGGATTCGTTCACCTCGGCAATCATACCCTTAAGTACGGATCGAACGCTGCAGGACAAGTATGTCAGCTATCAGGGCAATGTGCGCATGGGAAGGCTCCTTGAGGACATGGATCTCTTTGCTGGTAAGCCTTTATATTTGGTCGCCCACATCCTAATCTTATTCTATGAAAATGATCCTCAGCTTGGTGCTGCCACAAGCACTTGAAGTTGCCCAATTTACCGGAGGGTGTGCATCTGCCCTACACCTTTGTAACAATTCTAGTGGACCGTATTGACTTTACGGATCTTCTTGCCGATGGCACCCAGGACATCCGCTTATCTGGCCATGTCTCGTGGGTTGGCACGAGCTCCATCGAGGTGGTGGTCTGGCTGGAGCAGATTGTTGGCGGAAAATATGAAAAACTGACACGAGCTTTGTTTTTGATGGCCGCCAGGAATGCCACCAATACAGGCGCGGCCCCAGTGAATCCCATAAATCCAGCCAATGAGGAGGAGAAAGAGATCCTGGCGGGTGGAGCAGACAGGAAGAAACGGCGCCAAACTCTGGTTGCTCAATCGATTTTCAAAGTCGAGCCCAACGATCCGGAACAAACTCTTATGTACGAACTGTACCAGAGGACTACTCCGACCAACACATTGCAGCTCAACAAGCGCATCCTGCCACCCAACTGCCAGTGGATGGCGAACTCCTATCAGATGAGCACGATTCCTTCGTTTCCAGAGCATAGGAATCACCACAATCGGGTCTTTGGTGGCTTCCTAATGCGCAGCGCCCTGGAGATAAGCTGGGCAGCTGCATTCCTCTACTGCAAATCGCGTCCCAAACTGGAGCATATCTCGGATATCAGTTTCGAGAAGCCGGTCAGTGTGGACAGTTTCATCAAGATGACAGCCTACGTGGTGTATACCAAGAAGAACTTCGTCCAAATAATGACCGTGGCTGATGTCCTTGACCCTCATTCGGGAAGCCAGGTGACGACCAACACCTTCTACTACACCTTCTCCTGTAAGGACAATGTCACCGAGGTTCTGCCACGTTCCTACCATGAAACCATGTGGTACATCCAGGGACGCCGCAAGTTCGAGGCCTGCAGACCTTCAAAATAAAGAGATATGCCTTAAGGGGAGGGTAAGGTCAAATCATGCGAAAAAAGCCATGTTTTTGTGATTTTTTTCCTGACGACACAGTTAAAATTTATTTATTCAACCAACGGTATATTAAAGTATGACATTAGAAGAATGTTTAATAAAATTTTTACAAAAAAATATTAAAAAATATGGCAATGGTAGCAGTTGTCCGGACGTGTCGCCAAAAAAAGTTGAATTGCGGTGCCCCTCATAACTCGGTGCTGGATCATTTGTAATCAAAAAATGAAAATTCATTCGTTAGATAATAGTTCGCCCCAGGTAACGCGGTAAAGGTTTTTTGAAAATTGCAATTTTTTAATTTTTTCGAAGACTTTGAAGTGAAAAACTCAATTTTTTGGGAAAAAATCGGTTAATTTGTCATTGCAAAATCAAAACTATGAACAAAAAAAAATAAAACTCGACAGCGTTACCTCGTAAAATATGTACAGAAATAGTGTTTAAAATTTCAAAAGGATCGGTGCAGTAGTTTTGATGTTATGAGGGGCACCGACTTTGAAAACGTGAGTTGTGGGAATAACGCTTTAAAGTTTTAAACAAAACAAAATTCAGTGTAAAACGTTTGCAAGCAACTTCGTCAATAACTAATAACTTCGTCAATTTTGCTTTAATTGACTTGAAATTTTGACACAATATTCTTCATGCATTCAATTTAAAAAATAAAAAAAAAATTTAATACTTTACCCTCCCCTTAAATGATGCGAGGCTATGAGATTATGATATTACCAGTTTTCTGGGTGTTAGAGTCGCGTTTGGAAATTTCAACTCTAACAAAAGTAACACTAAAATGGTTTAGATCGCGTTTAAGATACTTATTTATTAAAATAAAGCCGAGGATTCTAACTGTTATTCAAAGCTTTGAAGAGAGATTAATAAAACTACCAACTCTGTATTTACATTTTTTACTCAAACGAGACTTCAATTCTATTACTCACTTTTAAATTTTTAGTCTTATTAGTCCTTACTTATTTTTTTTTTATGAATCAAATTTTATTGTGAAGTTTCTTGAGGAATTTATGTACTTGTTGTTTGCCAATAAAGTTATTTAAAAGAAAGTTGTTATCTTCTAGTAATCTGTTTTTAATAAATAGTAATATTCTTAAAAATAAAACTGTCATTATATATAACATTCTTTTATTGAGTTATCCTTCAGAGAGATCAAAAATAAGCGGTCTATTTTGGAAAATCAATAAAATCATTTTTGTAAAAATATAAATGCACTCATAACGGATTATTATTCATAAATTTTGTCATTAGTTTTTATTGCTTTTCTTAAAAGTTTTCCACCCTTAAGCACTACGCATCTTTCCGACCGCCTCACTCAGAAGAGATTAGATTGCGAACAGATAGAGAAGAGAGCTTGTGATTTCTAACCGCTTACACAGGTGATTTACATGGACTGGCTCTCTCCCTGTTCCGATTCGATGGCCAGTGCCATTCTCGCGAGTGCAGTCCAAGTGCCAACACTTGATGCAGGTCCGACCCATCTCTGCCGTATTACGTATTACACACTTTTTGTACGAAATTCGTACTTTTCTCTCCACATAAAGTAACAGGCTTAGCTCCACCTAGCAAAAATTAGCCCGGAAAGATGCAGCGTCTGATGGCACGTGGACTGGGGGCAATGGTAGCCAGGGGCAGGGGGTGCACCGTGATGAGCTGGTCCGCGTGCCAGCAGTCGGGCACCTGGCGGGGCTTCAATTCGGGACCTGTACTCACCTCCGATCATTACTCTGGAACTATGGATGATGGTAAGTCTGGTGGTGATCATCTTTGAATCCTCTGATGCTCAAGTCGTGAATTCCGATTCCCTTAAGTTACTCGTACCATTCGGGAGCAATCGGGGGTGGACATTGGCTATCACATCATACCTAAGCCTCGGGATCACCTTCTGGCATATCAGCCGAAAAGAGAGGACTTGGAGCCCAGATCCATGTTGGACTCGCACTCGACAGCCATTATACCACTCAGCGAGGGTGAGCAGATTAGGGAGCGGTACGTCAACCACCTTGGAAGGGTGAGATTGGGTCGCATACTGGAGGAGCTTGACATGTTTGCTGTTTGGATGTGCCACCGACACGTAAAGTTGCCCAACCATCCTAAGGATGTCCCCCTGCCTTATACGTTTGTCACATTACTTGTGGACAAGGTGGAGTTCTCGAATGTGGAACGGCTGAAAGTCAACCAAGACATTCAGTTGAGTGGAAATATCACGTGGGCGGGTACCAGCTCCATGGAGATCACAATCTATGTGCGACAGAAGGACTATGACGAGAACATTAACATGACCAAGGCCATTTTTCTGATGGTTGCTCGGAACGCTACAAATACCGGTGCGGCGCCCATAAATCCTCTCAAGCCCGAAGGGGATATCGAGAAGAAAATCTGGGAGGAGGCGGATAAGAGGCAAAAATCACGCCGTAATCAGGCGAAGGAGTCCGTGTTCAATTCACCGCCACGGGAGCACGAACAGGCTATAATGTACGAGATACTGAGGAGGACCACCCCACCCAATGGCATGGATCTGAACAAGAGGGAGCTGCCTGCGCGATGTCGCTGGATGGAGGACTCCATGCAGTCGACAATGATTGCGCCGTTCCCAGAAAACAGGAATGCCCAGAATACCATTTTTGGTGGCTACCTCATGCGACAGGCGGTCGAGATTTCTTTCATCCAGGCTTCCCTATATCAGGGGGGACGACCGCTGCTCGAGTGCATCTCGGATATCAGTTTCATGCAGCCTGTCGAAGTGAACACCTTTCTCCAGATGACGGCGCATGTCGTGTACACGGCCCAGAACTACCTCCAGCTGATGACGGTGGCGCAAATTTGGGATGTGAGCGGAACAGTCCGGACGACGAATGTGTTCTACCTAACATATAAGGCGGACAGAATACTGGACGAGGTCCTGCCACGAACCTACCGGGAGATGCTCTGGTACGTCCACGGGCGGAGAAAACTGCTGAACGCTCTCGATCTTCAGCCAGAGTACCCTGATCCCAAGGAAAAAACCAAAGTGACTTCAGCGAAAGGCACTTGAATACTTTGGTTATTAGTGAAATGGAACCTAGTATATGTTAGTGAATATGCTGTTTTCAGGCTTTAAAAGTGTCCCAACATCTTGTCCTTAAATAAAACCTATCTAAATTTTAGCTAAAAATAATTTCTCATAAAAATATTTTTTTTTTTTTTTTAACATTTTTCCATTGATGGATAATTGACCTACAAATTGTTGAAGAAATTTCGAAAATAAATCGGATGGTCTTTGATTGGAGTCCTCTGTCCTGTGATCAATTTTTTTTAATTATTGTTGAGGCTAAAAAATCGAGGTAATGAGGTAATATTGAATTGAATATTGAAATCGACAAAAATAGAGTATAGAATAGGAATGGAAATTCAATAAAAATCATTCATTCTTTCTGAATAATGGATAAACTTTGATCCAATATATATTTTTTAAGGTTTTTCCAAACCGCTACAACCTGAAAACTGCTTGAGAGGAAAAAGGCAGTGTGCCTTCGATACAAATTTCTGCTAGCTATTTCCAATTAAAACTTATCAGACCGTCAAGAGCCAATCAAGAGTTACAATGATAACGATTCAATACAAATCCGCAACACATCCTTTAAAGTTTTCCATTTTGTAAGGTTTATTTTACAAATCTTGTTTGTCTAACCAGCAATCGCGCTTGTACAGTGTTTTTGTTTTTAGAAAAATCCTTAAACTGAAGTGGAACCCAAAACCGCTCAGAAGCGCATGCGGTGGGGGTATTGGGAGGAGTGCAGGGCGAACATGTTCTTCAAGTACTTGGCGAAGAACTTGCCCTCGGGGTGGGCCTTGATGGCCTTCAGCAGGGCGGAGTCGACCTCCTTCTGGTCCTTCTTGCGCTGCTCGTTGGGCACGAAACGCTCCTTCTTGGCCGCGAAGATATCGGCCTCGCCGGTCTTCTTGTCCTTCTTGGCCTTAAGGCGGCGGAAGTAGGCGTCGTTCAGATGCTCGGGGACCTTGAAGGCACCCAGATCCACCTTCGACGAGGTGCCGATCACGTAGCGCTGGGACACGCGGCGCAGGGGGCACGAGTTGAGGGCGAAAGGTCCGGTGACCAGGAGCAGGCCGGAGGCGAGGACCTTAAGGAGGACCACACGCTTGCCCTGATGACGACCAGCCAGCAGGATCAGCACGGTACCGGGCTTTAGGTTCTTGCGGGTGTTGCGCTTGTGCTCGCTGAAGTTGGCCTTGGAGGGGCGCTTCTTGACGAAGGTCTTGGTCGGGTACTGGGCCTTCGACTTGTTCAGGTAAACAGTACGCTCCTTGCCGTTCTTGGGGCCTCCGATCTTCTTCACCTTCTTGATGGGCACCTTAACCTTCTGGACCACGGGGCTCTTCTTATCCTTCAAGCGGTACAGAGCGCGGCGCTTGTACATCTGAAATAATTAATGGTAGTTTTAGGAGTTTGCAAATATAAAGATTTATATTTATTCTAAAAGGCCGATGACCACCACTGCAGGCGTGTTTGGCCCACAAGTACCACAATGGCTCACTTGACAAATCTCTTTTGAAATAAATTCACATTGTCATACAAGCACTGTAATTTATAGGAACCATACTTGACAAAATCAAGGTAAAATATGTTTAATAGGAATTCCTTTTCATGATTTGAAGCAAAAGTAAGGGCATCAAACAGCAACAACTTTTCTTTTAGTGCATTAGGGGAGCTCAAGCAAAGCACGCTTTTTGTCGCCTTCGACCGAAGGCGTCACACCGCAAGTTGGCACATTTCCCACGGACTTTCACAGATTTTTACCTGGGCCTTGGAGTAACGCAGAATTCCGCCCTTCAGGTAGGAGTTGAGAGGGTGCTTCTTGCCCTTTTTGGCCGATTTGGCCACTTTCTTAGCTTTCTCGACGGGTGCCATTGTGGAGAACACGTGTACACAGCACAAAAATTATTTAGAAAAGGGAGGTTATGTGCGGTAGTGGTGGCAAAAAGACCGATTTCTTAATCGATATATCGATAGTGTATTTTTAAACATTTGCATGCCACAAGTGTGCCCGTATCTACAAGCAAAATGGTCACACTGGAAACGCAGAAATGAGTAAAATTACACCCCAATTAGATAAATAGCCGTTTAATATTAATCACTTATTTTAAATAATTGAAAGTGGATACAATTTAAGAAGGTTGCAATATTTTTGATTTGATTTAACCGATAAGATAAAATAATATATTTAAATCCACCTTTATTGATATTTTTTAATATAAGCCCACATCAAAAAAATCAATCCATTTACCATTTAATAATACTTTTTTCCATTTATTTGTTGTAATGTGTGTACAATGATTTAAATCACGATTTTCAGTTGCTTTCAGACAACTTGTTTCATTTCTTTACACAATGATCCATTTGCTTAAGAATGATTTTGGACGCCTAATGTAGTATCACTAACCATACAGCATATAGACAACCCATTTCATACAACGAAAATGGACGCGAAAATTTCTTGCTACAGGCCCCAGCAGGCCCCAGAGCGGATTTCTTACGCTCTCTTACGCTCATCGTTCGTTCATCTTACGCTCATTCTCGCATTAAATGTTTTCTGTTTCTCAGTCTCTAAACGGAGCGCGATGAAGAAGGTTGGCCTGCGCTTCGGTTGATCTTTGTATGTATGCGTGTCACACATTCACATACATGGGTGTATGTGTGCGTGCGATTTCGTTTCGAAGCCAGCGCACAAAATTTTGATTTTTCTTACTTTTAAGGCTTGCTACCCTAACAAAATTCGGGTATTCGTTATTTGATGAAATGACGAAAGAAATTATATTATTTTGTATATTATATTTTTTTATTATTTCAGCATACATTTTTAATTTATTTAGGAATAAGATTAAGTGTTAGTAGTAAAATGTTTTCTGTATATATATTTTTACGAATCATTAAAAATCAATATACTGAGAAAGTGTCAGAGTATATTTCGGTCGGAGTCACTTAAAGCGCCGTTTGCTTTTAAGTTTTTGTTGTTCTGCAAGAGGCTTGTGCATGCCTACTCTAACGATGGAATGATTTTTAGGGGAGGGTGAAGACGGGTGAAGAATTAAATTACTTTTTAAAGTTATTATATATAAGGAAATATATATAAGGAAATTATTAAATTAACGACAATAATTTAATTAAATCTCACAATAACCCAAAATATAATAACAAGTGCCTGAAAAATTGTAAACAAAAAGGTAAACAAGTCCATCAGCTGTTTTCGTGTCTTCACCCTCCCCTAAAAATCATTCCATCGTTAGAGTAGGCATGCACAAGCCTCTTGCAGAACAACAAAAACTTAAAAGCAATCGGCGCTTTAAGTGACTCCGACCGAAATATACTCTGACACTTTCTCAGTATATTGATTTTTAATGATTCGTAAAAATATATATACAGAAAACATTTTACTACTAACACTTAATCTTATTCCTAAATAAATTAAAAATGTATGCTGAAATAATAAAAAAAATAAAATAAAAATAATATAATTTCTTTCGTCATGTCATCAAATAACGAATACCCGAATTTTGTTAGGGTAGCAAGCCTTAAAAGTAAGAAAAATCAAAATTTTGTGCGCTGGCTTCGAAACGAAATCGCACGCACACATACACCCATGTATGTGAATGTGTGACACGCATACATACAAAGATCAACCGAAGCGCAGGCCAACCTTCTTCATCGCGCTCCGTTTAGAGACTGAGAAACAGAAAACATTTATTGCGAGAATGAGCGTAAGATGAACGAACGATGAGCGTAAGAGAGCGTAAGAAATCCGCTCTGGGGCCTGCTGGGGCCTGTCGCAAGAAATTTTCGCGTCCATTTTCGTTGTATGAAATGGGTTGTCTATATGCTGTATGGTTAGTGGTAGTATCTAATTACAGGTTGTAATTTCGAATAAATTAAAATGAGTGATTCATAATGTACAAATTGAATACATTTCGCTTCATAACTAATCCTAAGGCTAAAAAATAACCTCAACCGATTCTGTCACACAAATTAAGCTCAAACTTCTCGCGATGGGAAATGAGTCCTCAAATAAACACTAAAATTATAGATATTTTATACAATAATTGAGATTTTCTTTTCATCATTTTTCCGTTTCCGTTTCCGATCTGATTTGATGTTATTCTTAGCAAATATTTAACTAACTCCGCGCTAAATACAATGTAAAATTTGCTATTTGTTAAAAATATGAAATACAAAATGTATTCTTTTTGAAATCTCAGCCCGCCAATGGCGGGTGTGGCAGTTAGTAGAAAAAACTTAGCTCTAGACCACCTCTCGATTTAGTTTTTCGCTTTCACCTCTAGCTTATTTGTCAATTGGCTCTTACTAAAAGTTAGATTACTTTAAAATATTCTCTTCTTTTAAGTTTTGTTTCTATCGCATCACTTGCCAAGCATTTGAACACATTTGTCTCCCTCGCTTAAAAATAGTTTAGTAATTCAGCTTCAGCGTTCGACTGTTCGACTGTGTTTACAATGTTTCGGTTTTAATTACAAAAATTGATCTGGCTTTCGGGGGAAAATGGTTACTACAATTACGCTCTATTGCACAACAGTTAAAGTTTAAGATAATTTCGAATATTTACAGCAAATCGACCTTGTTTTTATTTACAGAGGCTTTCCGCACACAGGTGGGAATGGAGGTCGTGGTACTCACATTTGGCTGGAGTCGCTGCTGGAGGCTGCTCGATTGATCTGATCTGCATCTGGCCAGAGGGACTGCAACTAATGTAGAGTTTGCACACACAAAGTAAAATAAAAAACCGGGCATTTGTTGTAAATATTCATGAAAAGGTCTGCCATTGTGGCGGGCACAATGGCGGGCGCATTTTTATTTAAATTTACAGACAAAGAGTCGACCCCCGGGCCGGGGATCGTTTGCACATAGCTGATATAGAGCTCGAGAGCCCACCAGCGGGTTAAATTTAAAAAATGAAAGTATAATTCTGAATTTGTGAAATTTAAAATTGTTTTTTTGCTCTGCGGTAGTTCTTTTTTAATTTTGTTTTTCTTTCCTCCTATGCTCTCCACTCACTCACACTCTCTAATAAACTTTCTGCTTAACTTTCCTGGTACATCTTGCTAAATGTTGCATCATAATTTCTGCTCAAAGTTGCCGCGCTTCAATTTTTTGAATTGTCGGATTTTTGGATGTCTTATAGCGGCTGCGGGTTTGATTCGCTGGTTGTTGGTTTTAAACTAGATTTTAAGTGGTATTTACTAAAGTACAACATAATAATTGATTTTTGTGTGTTTTTTTTACAATTTTTTTAATAAATTAAATAATATTATTTAACAAAAAAGAAGAATTGCTCTCGTGTATATAAGGTAATGGTAAAATGTAAAAAATCACCGTGATATACTCGTTTGATTAACAGATTTACTTAGCATCGTACAGTAATGGTAGGTCTTCCTTATACTCTGCACGGATGTTGCTTATAGGGCGGAAATTGAACTTTAGCTTTTCTGATTGGGTATTCAGAGAAAAATCTACTAGACACACACTACAATATTGTGGATTCATCTTGGTTTAATGTTATTATTATTGTTAAGAGTTCTTAGTCGATATAGGCGGCGAATTAACTTTATCTTTTCTGTGATTTGTTTTATACTTTTTTTGTTTTGAGCGCGGCTAAAATTACTGATTAATCTGATTCGACCTTGTTTTTTTTTTTTTGTTGATTTTCTGCTTATCTTTTAGGTCGTTCTAAACATAGAGAAGTTTGTACTTTTTTTTTTTTTGAATTTTTATGATTTTTGTTATAGTTTTTTTGGGTCCATTGATTCGGGGGTTTTACATAACTGACACGAGCAGGACGAACATGGAGAACATAAAGTGTTTACAACTAATTAGTTAGGCGGTCTGATTGAAAATGATTTTCTTTTGTGGTTTTTTGAATTTTTTTTTACGGTTTTAAGCGCAACCAACAAAAAATTGCTGTCCCATTCCAGATGTTCGGATTTCGGTAGTGGGTCTCGCAACTCTTAAATCGTATTCTCTCTCACTGATCTCGAATAATGATCCGGAACGGCATCAATCTTTTGTATGATGGTCCGCAGCATTCGTTTTGTATTTTTTTTTTTTTTGAAATTTTTTTTTGCTTTTGTTTTTTTTTTCACGTATTTTTTTGTCTGCCGCAAATAAATTGAAAAAATAATTTGCCTCGATCGCCACTCGGCGCTACTTCCTGGCAATTCTTCATCAAAAGGGGGGAAGGGAGGGGGTGTTGCTATGAACACGCCGCCCCTCCGCACCCACATTCTTCAAGATTTCCTTAAATGTTAGAACCAGCGCTACCAAATGCACACCTATGTGCACATATGCCAAAAGAATTATGATGCACCTTAGCAAAATATACACACACTAACTCAACCAGCACAACTACACACACACACGCACACGGAACACACACACAGTTGCGTCTTGGTACTCATGCGATGATCCCGATCTCCTCCAGGTCCGCTTCCGTCGGGGATATGTGTCTGGCCTGAAGGGTGGCAGGATGCCGTGGTGTGTGCCGTGCGGGCGCCTGGTTGCTGCCATCTTTTGTTCCGCTGCTCCAGTTTCAGCTGATGTCCTTGCTGCGGCGGGCCGCCGCTGGACACTAACATTGTTCGAAAATTGGAATAATGGGTGAAGTCGGCCAGTCCTCCTCCTCCTCGGAGCTAACGCTCTCAGTTCTGTAAAAGAAAGTAAAAGTTGTAGTTATACCATTGTCTATCCTCATGTTGCAATCCATTATCAAGCCTAATCGGGCTTAACGATCGCAAAGCTAATTAGCACCCCACGGAACATCAGCTGATAATTTGGAAAGCCTTTGCTCAGGTGCAGCCCGAACAAAGTGCGACGATTGCGAATGGTGCATTGAACTCCAAAGTTTATGACTAAGTTTCCCAAAAACACATCTAGAACACCATCGCCGATAAGATAACAATTGGAGAAGAGGCTAGGAGGAGCCTTGAAAATACCATTTCTTCCATGACATTGAATATGCAGTCCGAGTTCAATGGGAGAATTCAAGGACGCACAACAGCTGGTATATAATAGACGGATATACACATAGGTGTTATGTATTCCGCCGGATGGCTCATTCACCGACACTTTCCAAGGCACAGCACACAGCGGCCTGTGTTTTTGTTTTTGCGTCTAGCGGGTATTTGGCCACGATAAGATTGTTGTCGACAAAAATAAAAAGAAACCAACAACACACAAGCCCACGAAAATAAAAAACAAATAGGTGGGTATAAAAAACAGCCCACCAATGGGCGGGGGGCGGAGGGGTGCGCACCGCGGAGGCGAAAAGTGGCCGAGCCAGCCAGTCTCATGACAATTGTGTTGTTGTTGTTGTTGTTGCTGATAATGGAATCGCTAATATTCTAGAAACTTGTTTACGCCAAAAGCTCGGATCGTCATCGACACATTTGCTTACATTCGAGAATCTAGAATCTATGTAGATTATATACACGCGTAGGTCTCTACAAACACAACAAAGCCCAACTAAAAATAAAGACCCGAATCCCAGTGCCCCAGAGTTCCCTGGCCCAACTCACCTTGAACGGAGGCCATCGTCGAGGGCGTTGGAGATGCCTTCCTCAATGGTGGGCAGGTCGGATGAGAATCGGTTGATCGGGCGCAGGACACGCAGCGTGCGACTGGACAGCTTCCAGACTAGCCGCTGCTTGTAGGGTGCCTTGTTCTGGCCGTTGTAGTGGGACAGAATGCCCGAGACAATGCTGAAGCCGCAGGTGAAAACGCGATCAGGAATCTGGACAAGAAGATGGATTAGTTTATGATCCATATGGTCCCTTTTCAGGACAGACTTACCCTCATGTACTGCTGCAGGAAGAGAATGTACTCGAATACGTGCTTCAGCTCGGGACTACCGCGGGTGTAGGACTCCTTGATGTGGAAGTCCAGGTGCAGGCAGATGAGCACCAAGGCCAGGGTCGATGGTGTGATCACTGTGGTCTTCACGTCGCACAGCAGGATCTCGAGGCGGTTCTCCAGCTCCTCCAGCTTGATCAGCTGCTGGTAGAACTTGAAGAAGTCGCCGCCGATCTCCTTCGCCAGGTTGCGGAAGAGGGCGTAGTAGATGCGCAGGTAGCTCACGGAAGTGATCGGTGCATGTCCCATTTGGACGCCCAGCTTGTTGGCGATCACGCCGGCCATGCGTTCCAGGTCGCCAGCGGTACAACCACACTGCAATATACTCATTAGACCTATTGCATCCTAACCACCGGAGTAAAGAAACCCACCTGAGATATTGTAACCAGATCCTCGGCGGGTATGGGCTTCAGGTCCAGCTGCTTGATGGCCAGGTGGAAGGAGGCGACGCTCATGCAGGCCATGTGCTTCGGCTTGACGGCCATGCGGTCCAGGAAACGATCCACCAGGCTCATGGCCGAGAACAGGACGTCGGAGGGCAGCTCGTACCACATCTTCAGGCAGCGCAGCACGTAAGCCGACCCATCTCGTCCGCCGGCAGTCACCTCGCGCTACGGGAGCAGGAGATCATAGAAGTTTCAGTCTAAAAGAGAAGGAGATTCAAACTCACCCTTGATTCCTTGGGCAGCAGCAGCACCGTGTGGTACTTGTCCTGCAGGGCGTCGTACTCCTTGAGGGTCTCGTACAGCTCGTCGGAGGTGAGGGCGTGCAGCTCCTCCAGTTTCTTGGACTCGTTGGTGTTGGTGGCTCCTGCACCGCCGACGGCACCTGCCTCCTCGTCCTCCAGTTGTTGTTGTTGTTGATCGTACTTCTGATATTCCAAGCCAGCAGCACCCGGTGTCCCATACCGGCCCTCGTCCGCAATCCTCATCCAATCAGCTGGCATCTCTGCATTGTGGTTAATGCCGTTGGACGACAGCTTGCCCCCAGCTAGACCAGCAGCACCACCGGTTGCCCCCAGCACTCCTCCAGCAGCGACCGACGACGCGGAAGCGGCAGCAGCAGCGGCTGCAGCCTGGGCCGAGGTCGAGGGTTGCTCGTCGTCGACCAGGATGGCGTTGATGCTGTTGGCGTCCATGATGATTTCGCCGCTGTGGCTGCTTGCGATCCCGGAGTCAATGGTGGCTAGTGCGGCGGTGGTGCTGATGCTGTTGTGGTGGTCCTGGGTCTGGGGCAAGGCGAGTCCTGGCATAACCGACGACGACATCGATGTCCTCTGCTGCATCAACTGCTCCTGCTGCCGCGCCGCCTGCAACTGGCAATAGTAGGCGATGTCCTGCTCCCGTTGGTACTGGTACTGCTGGTATTGCTCGTACTGGTACTGCTGTTGCAGCTGCAATTGCAATCGCTCTTGCTCCTGTTGCTCCAACTCACAATCAACGTCGGCGGCGTATTCGGCGGCAGCAGAGTAGCGTACAGGGACAGACATTGTGAGGGCTGGCCTAGTACCTGTTATGGTTATTTTTTTTTGGGGGGGGGAGGGGATGGCAAATTGCGAATTAAAGATTAAACACACAACACTTTCGCAGACGACTCGCGGGCGAGTCAAGAGGGAGAAAGTGTCGAGGAAATTGCAAAAGAAACTAGGCCTCAAAGAGATCCCCGCAAGGAGGAGAAGTGGAAAGGAGAAGGGTTCGTCCTTTCGTTCTCGCAGTCCTTGCCCACTTGTTTGATTCTATTTTCAGCTCTTCGCCGAATCTCAGACTTCCCAACAGTCCCAGACGGTGGGCCGATATCAGCGAGTATCTCACGGATGCTCTCAATCTACAGCTGAGGTTCGCGACTATTGAAGGCGCTTCGGAGAGCTCCCTTCTGGAATGGGTCAAGGCTCTCGGTTGAAGCGCCACCGAAAATAAAACTACTCTGTTTGCTACTTGTGGTGCACACACCGGTCGCAGAACTCAGAGACAACTCGACTTGGCTCTGGCTAGGGGCTAGCAGTTCAGTGACCTTAATGCAATTCTTTCAACGATTGGCAAACAGCAAACAAACAACACCCTCTACAATGACTTATTCGCGCTTTCCGGGCGACGACAAAATTTTGTGCAGTGTACCAGGGGACAAGCCAACGATACAAGCTATCTGTTGGATATTGATTGTCTGGCGTACGCTGATCGGTTTCTTGTCGCGCCGAAAGCTAAGTATCTCAGAGACTCGACAACAAGTGAGTCTCTGGGCAAAGCGCCTGAAAGTAGGGGTCTATTATGTGTTCGCTCAGTGCTTGTCACGATAATAGACTCTTGCGCTAAGCAGATTTGGTTTAATGGCTCTTATGACTGTTTTTGCTTAAAAATGACTTACGCGCTGCAAAAGTTGGTTTCAAAAATATTATTACAGTGTTTCAAAGTAAAGATCTCACAGTTGGAATGGTATTGTGTGGCATGCAAATTAATTACAGGTGTTGTGGGTTATGGGGAGTGCAATGCACTCCATTTCGGAATGATTCGTGTTCAATGCGTTTAACGAACTTTTGGGGGGAACCTGCCAGGCAGACTGCAGCCCAGCTGAGCAACGAGCCAGTGGCATTGGAAGCTCATTTTATTTCGAGCAGTGCTCAACTTAATCGACTCACCGACCTCAGCCACTGACACATTTTTATTCAAATCGCGCGGTCACAAGGCTGTCTCATAGAGGAGCAGGGGGCCCCAAGGCGAACCACGTAAATAGATCGCGATACATACCAAGCCACACATTGTGTCCAATCATGAAAAGAATCACGAATGTGTATTGGCTGGTATTCATATTTTACTCAAAATAATTCCCAATCTCGAGCAAACAGTGCTGGAAGTGTAAACTATCGGATATGCTCCGACTCCACGTCCCAAGTGCCTCCATATCACTGCGTTCACACTTCCGCCCCAAAAGCCAGCGATTAAAACCCAAACAATACACCAGAATCAGCATGGGGGGAGGCTGTATTATGGACACTTGAACAAACACCACCGAAACCGCCATGTTGGGCTAGATTCGACCAGAAACAAAAAACCATGAAGAGATGGGCGGCTGCCTCTTGGGGCTTTCTCCCATTGCGGAAACCAAAACAAAACTTCACTTTGTATAAACAATTAGATGATAGATGACATAAACTAAGCAACCCAAACAGACCCAGCCACTCGACTGCCTCGAAGCCCCTACGATTGCCTCCAGATGTTAATACTGCTGCCAGTCGGTCGGTCGGTTGGGAAATTAAAGAGAAAACACCAAGTAGCTGGCACTGACAAGGGATCTGTCTCTTCAGTTATTTATAGAAGAAACTGCCTGCGAAGGCCTATCAGAAGCTATGGCCGTGGCGCCAACGGCTTCTGTTTTGAATTCGAGCCATCGTCCTCAATCTACAAGCCAAAATAACCGCAACTGAGGGCACTTTGGAGCGTTTAACCTGCTTCATGGCTAACCAGATAGCCAGATAAACAAGGCTGCCGATTAGCAAAACAAACATCGCTTGAAATTAGCAACGAAATGCCAATACAAGCTGATGGGAATTCGCAATTCTTCAAGGAAGCAATTGCTATTATAAACAAATCGGTCTTTAATCGAAAAAATACATAACTTTGAACTCATTCCCTGGTAGACGGTCTCTGAAGACCCAGTCTTAAAGACGCTAGGTCGATAAGTATAATCAGATCCCTGAAACCTAGACAAACCGATCTTTAATCGATAACTAATGGCAAAATATGTATCTATGATCTCATTCTCTTGCCAACTGTCTCTGAAACTGAAATTTCTCCCCAAGTTGGAGCATTGAGACCGAAACTTGATGACTCCGGCTCTTAACGTATAATCAGGTCAGTGAGAAAGACTGACCGCGCCCTGAATCATCTTCGATCGTCAACATAAATACCGCCATGAATCAGTGCGGGTTATGTGACGCATTGGGGTGGGAAGTTGCGGGGACTGTCATTGAAAAAGACCCAAGAAATACCTCTGCATTCTCTGATTTACTTCAGCAGACTTCCGTTTCGGGGTTTCGCCGTTGATCAATTCTATTTTTAAAGCTTCAGACCAAAACAGCCAACAATAAGCGAACCAAACTAGCTCTGGGCCCGCACTTCAAGGTCGCCCGCCCACAAAAACTCGTTTCAAGGGGCCGACTGGAAGTCCACACACATTATTCAAGACTCCGAAGCTGCTGAGTAAGCATGAAGAAACTGTAGTGAGTTTGCAGCTTAAAGACCTTCCTCCGAAGTCCGACTGATAACGGTAGCCCAGAGCGGTCAAAGGTCGGCTTTTACGCTTTGCTGGTGCCCGAAAAACACAATGAACAAGAGCATAACAATGGGAGGCGTAGCATAATGAAAGTTTACACTGGAAAAAGTGCTCCTATCAAAGTAATGGAATCAGACCCTAATCTTGAAGATTAGATGGTGCGCCAAACATTTTGTGTTTGTTTCTGGCTCGCGATAGTAGAAATTTTAGTTTTCTTAATTCCCAGAACAGTGCTGGCTATAATAATAGCACCCAGCTCACCTCACCGCAGACACTTGGTTGGGCCAAACCAGAAGCTATCGCTCTTTTGATCTTAGCCAAGGTTTTCTGGTCCACTGCAGTTGGGCATACACTCTGGGCACAACAAATTCCTCAACTGAATTATGTATGTCTTGGTGCTCCACAGTTTGTTTTTTGGTAGCCGAGTTGTTTTTCTTTTTTTGGCGCGGGCTCCGCTGACGCAAAGCACGTACGCACACAGTGGAAAGTATCTGAAGTGTCGGTGTGTGCCAGTGCCAGGCCATAGCGCTATTGCCATATTTTTAATGTAGTTGTAACAAAAAACAATATCTCAATACAAAAAAATTTCACTTTTTGCCTATTTTCGTAACAGACGGCACTACCTGAGACAGGTGTGAAATATTTTCGTGTCTTCTCTACCGAGGAACTGCAATCCCAGGGAGTGGTTTAAAGCCCCGAGAGATGCGTTTTCCAAAACGAAAGCGAGTTTGTGTCGTAAACAGAAAAAAAACACAAAAATAGCCACTAAAAGCTACATACTTTTCTTCACAAACAGATGATCGCTGTCAGAGAGAGAGAAGGCAATTGTTTTTAATTTTTACGCTTTGCTTTTCATTCCACTTATTTCTGCCTTTTTCTTTCTTTCTTTTTTTGCTGAGAGTGGCTGTCGGACGAACGGTTTATTCATTTATCATCGTCATCGACTGATTTTCGTAGATGAAGGTCAATAAATGACAGACTGGGAGAGTGGGAGACTGGGAGAGAGTGGAAAGAAAGAGAGAGCAAGCAAGAGAGCTCTGTAGACCTGTTTTTTTCTCCAAAGAACTGACTTTCCAACTATTTTGGCGCCATTTAAACGCCCTTTGGAGAGTCCTGTTACCCCCTTTCGAAATTTCCCTTCAAACAACCTGAACCACATAATAAGAAGGTTTCCTTCAACCCTAAAAAAGGCCACTATCCGACTTTGGTGTGAAAGAGGTGCAGCAAGGAACTGTGACTTTGTCGCTGGCCGTAATTAACGGAAGAAGGAAACTGGCCCAGCCAGTTGGCTCGGGGTTCAGGGGTGGCTCTGCGTTGCAACCCCCAGGACGTTGCGGGAATTCCACCCCCCAGAAGGACCAGAATTTAAATAATGACTCAACACACACACAAGTGGCTCGAGGAAAGATCGGCGCAGGCGCAGCTGCCGTGGCATGTGCTAAGAAACTATTTATCTCCTGATATCCCAACCCAGAACAATAGAACTAGACCTTAAGCGGAAGACAATAGACACAGAAGGAGAGGAGGGGGAAGCGATCAGGCGGGCATTGTACCCAAGAATTCTGCCCCGCACTATCGGGCGGGCGATCGACCTTTGCCGAGCCCGCTTCGCCTGTGTTTTCGTCTGCTATTCCGCGGCTAGTTTGAATTTTACGAGTCCAGACCGCTATCAGTCTATCGGCCGTCTGGGCTATCTGTCAATGGACTGGTGATTTGCATTGCCCCGCCCTATCTGCCTTTGGCGAACTGCGAACTGCACTCGAGCCCCTCGCACTAGCCACTATCAGCGGAAATGCAGTACAAGAATTTCCCTGACGTGAACTGAACGTGACATACTGAATGGACGAGCGAGCGACTTGAGGAGCGTGCCCAGCAGAGTGATAGCCGGGTGCTAATCACACGGAACTGGAGTGGACTTTGTAGTCGAAACTCGGCCATAAAACCGAAAAGTTACAAGAACTATTCCAGAGATTGTGGAAGGTTCAGTTAAGGGCTTTAGTGGTAATTGTATTGGCCACCCTGCTTATCTCTGCACTTCAATCACTGTTCTACATTACGATACACAAGGTTCTGAGCTGACATTTAGATAGCTGGCTAATGTACCTCCCACTGGCGCCCACCGATGACTTATAGCGAATCCCCCGCTTATCAATGGAAGAGAGTCGAGGACATTTCGTAACATTCCATGACGTAAGCGACAGGCTCGATAAAGCGATTCGATCTTATCGCCATTGTTCGAACAAAAAAAACCAAAAACCCATAGAAATGCCAGCAGAGAGCAGCTGCAGTGCGAGAAGCAGAGAGAGCAGCTGCACTCTGGAATCGGGAATCGGGAATAGGGAATATTGGAATTTTTCGTCACCTTTTCATAAAATTGAATTAGAGGGGAGACTGGAAAGGGGTGGCGACTCGAAAAGTCGCTGGCTTGGCACGAGCTGAAAATCAGGGGATTATATCCCGGAAAGGCAGAAGGGCAGGGGGGTTGAAATCGGTTCAGTTGAGTGCTTTTCCTGGGTGGCTTTTTTGGGAAGCCACGGGGCTACGGGGGATATGCCATTCAGGTTTGTCAGCTGTTGCCAAGAGAGCCAATTTCGTTTTGGCATTAAATTTCACTTTGGCCTCAGCGTTTGCATTTGAGCCACAAATTTCATGGCAGACTGAAACTCAAGAAAGCAGGTAGCCAGCAGACGAATTTCGAGACTGCCGTGGTCCTACTAGTGAATTTTTTTAATTGCCAGATAATCCCATCCATTACCAGTGACTAACTTCCATGCAAATAGGTAGTTTTTGGGCGAACCTAAGGGTTAAGGTAAGGGAAAATAGAAGACGAGACCCCAGAAGAGTCACCTTTTTTGGACGTAAACAAGTGTGAAGAAGAATAAATAATACAACGGTACCAAGAGGCGAGAGAGGAGAGGGCAGCATAAGAGACACCCACACAGGCCCACAACCAACATTCTCATTAGTATGCGAGTGTGGGGGTTATTTTATGATTGTCAGTATGTATGTTGTGTGTTTTTTTGGAGGCTATGGAAAATATGAAAATCAACAAATTAAGCAATTCTGCGTTGTGTGTTGTGTGTACGGCTGCGCAACAAATTGAAATCAACAAATATGACCCAGAAAACAAAGTAAAAACCCTGAAGGTGAAATCTGCTTCGCCTGCCAAGGGGGGGGACAACACTTGTTAATTGTGTTTTTCGGAAACAAGTTGCTTCTGAAATTGTTCGAGGGTTTTTGCTTGTTTTTGAAACAAAAACAGGCAGTTTAGTGGGTATTTTATTTTTTGGCTGACGCAATTTCAAGTCGCGCACGCACACCTCTGTAAAAATCGAAGCGTTGCAGTGGTATGGGTGTATATATGCAGCGAAATCCGAATGGGAACACCACACACTCGCAAGCCTTTGTTTGCACTCCGCGTGTGTGTGTGTGTTTTTGTTCGTGAGGAACGGTTGGCAGTGGAACACTGACTGATTGTGGGGAGAACACAACAAAGAGGGGCAGCAGAGAAAGAGGGCGTAAAGTAAAACAATTGACGTAAATTGGAAGTAATACTCTCATGCAAATAGGGGGAGGCAATCAGAATGTTTTTTATCTAGCTTGTTTTTTCTCAAATTCGGGGTGCTAGGCGATTGAAATGAATTGAAAACTAGTTTCCAAACAAATAGGCGTTAATATGCTGATGCTATGCTGTACAGCTTGCATAAAAAGCACAGCCCCACATACACACTAATACACCGACAACCAGCATAGTTCCTCCGTCCACCTCCTTCCCCCTTTTTGTTTCTCTCTCGCTCGCACTCTAAGCAACGACCTATGAATAGCGGACCCCAAAAACTCCCTCTCTCGCATTCGTACTCACACACATACACAAGCGCACGCACACCAAGAGACACCAGCCAAACAGCTGTGAAACGAACTGAGAGTGGAACAAACACGTAAATTGTTTCTTCATGTACTCTCGAGTATATAACAAATTTTGTATGTATTCCTCAATCTATTATTCTCCGTTTTTTATTCGCTTGGCAAACAAACAAAATCATCTGATGCACTTTGTTGCCGAGAAACCACCTCCACCTCCCCCTCCCACCCACAACTACAATTTTCAAGACCTTGATTTCTTTTGCAATTTGGTCGACGACGTTTCTTGCTCAATAGTATATAAGGAAAATGAAATACTTTGCTTACGTTATTACAGCCATTTTGTTGTGTTTATGTTGCGCAGGAATGTTGAGATGAACTTTTATTTAATTGCGAATTTTGGCCTTTCTTATTGCACTTGAGAATAAGTGAATAGTTGTTGTTGTAGTGGTTGCTTGGTCTTTTATACGCTTATAGTTCGCTATAAAACCTTGTCGATTGCCATTTAAGCTACGTTAACTAATTTGTACTGCGGTTTGTATCACAATTGGAACTCGGTGTTAGGCTGGCATTTCTCCTCGGTTTTCTCGTTTGGCTTTGGCGGATCGATTTTTCCCACACACACCAAGCTAGAAGTGGTCGGGGCTTTTCTCCATCAGCTGCGCATCTTAGCTCTGTGTTATTGTCCAGTTCGTTCGGCGCTCCAACTAAGCTTTGTACATTTCGAAAACCACGGATCTAATATCTGGCACCAAATCGCGATTCCTTTCCAGCAGAAAGCTATAAAATTTCTATTTCTATGCAGACACTCGCGCTCGGTGTGAAAACGGTACTTTCTCGTCTGTTGTTTTGTTACGAATAGTCAGTATTGCCAGACGACGATATCGACGCCCCCGAAAAACCCAGAAAACAAAATCCAGAATATCGGTATATGGTCACACTCAGATGGCACAAACATGTCGTGTCGAACATGTTGGTAATGCCTTGTTGCGAACGATGTCATATTTCTCTCTCACTCTGGTAAAAATGTAGTAATCAAAAGGTTTTATCGATAAGACCCGCGAAAAAATCTCAAATTCAAATGTTACTTGTTTGGATAGATTCTAAGTAAACTTTGATAAGCCGGGGACTGCTGTTTACTTTACGATTATAGATAACATATTTATCTGTTGTTACATACTTCAATAATTTTTATTTTAGAATTTATTCATTCTATAAATAGACATGGAAGTTGTGTCGATTTGTTGCTTCCGGCTGTTGAGTATTGTTATGAAATTTTTCTGTAATAAATTTAAGTAAACAACGCTTCCATTATGTTTTATTTTTTAAACCAAAATTACTTTCCATTCACAAAAATATTTCACTATCAAAGTAAATTCAAATACGCAGTTTAACATCAAAATATAGATATCACTACTACGTAATTACCGACTAATATTTCGATTAGAGGAACTATCCGAAGACGCAATTGCGATAAGATTTCAATTCCAAGAGAGTGTTTGAAAACGGCGGGGAAAGTCATTTTCCAGCGAAAGGGAAACTCATTACTGTTGCCAAGCGCTCTTCTTGGAGGGGATACGAGAAAGTGGAGGGGGTGAAGCTATTTCAGGGCCCCTACCAACACACACACACACACACACACGTTCACTTCTAGAAATTGTCAGCAACAACAACCTGTCAGTGTCAGCACAATTGGAATTTCCTAATCTTATGGAATTTTTATAGTTACGGGGAATTAAAATTGAAATTTTTGGATATTTTTTTTTATTTAATACCCAATAAAATAGTTTTTAGACATTTCTTCAGATCACACACCTACATACACATATGCATGGGGAAAAAAACGCGTGGCGATTGATTCCACCGGCCAAAAATATCGTTTTACGCTTTGAACAACCATCGAAATCAATGAATGAAGAATCAAAAAACTATATTCCACTTACCCGGATGCCTCTGCGTTTTAATCAGTATCTGGGCTTCCTCTTTTTTGCCAAATAAAATAAAATAAACTTATTCTCAAATAAATTTTTCGAGAACTGGCGTTAATGTGGCCAGAGCAAGCCGACGTGGCGAGGGTGCATTTGTCACCCTGTGGCCATAACCGCCAAGTTAGCTACTTTCAAGTGGTCTACCCATTTAAAATAAAACATAGTATAAATGCATAATGTAACAAAGTTATTTAAATTATCTGTTACCCTCTGCTATTTTTTTTTACTTTTAGTTTATTTAACTTTTTTATCCACAATTTAGCTTTATTAAGCTAGCAACCCTGCAGCTTGGTTTTGCCATCCCTGACGACCCTAGGCAGTGTTGGACACTTCAAAAGTGCCATCACTGACTCGGGAAAAGAGAAAGAGAAAGAGCACGAAAAGCAAATTGGGTGGAAAACTGGATTGGTTTTTGCGGAAAATTGTGTTCTACGCCGTTCTCGACAAGCACCCACAGTACAAATAATTGAAGCTGTTAATTAAGAAGTGGCCGAAACGCAATAAACAAGCTGAGTTCAGAGTCTAGCTAGCTGCAGTGCGTTTGTGTGCGGCCGATTGTGTGAATGTGTGCGCGATTGGTTGGGTAGGAAGGCAAAGAAAGGGACTTCGAGGAGGTAGGAGGAGGAGAGTTTTCGCAAGGAAAAGCAGCAGAACGGCAAAGCAGCAGCCAGGGCTGTAATTACGCCAACTTGGTGGGAGTTCAAGATAAACTGTGCGCCTGTCTGTGTGCGGAACACCCCCCAAGACACCACACAAACACACCGATAGAGCCCGGAGTTCCGTTTGCTGTTCGCGGTTTGTTTTGTGCTCAAATTCGCGTGCCCGCCGCCTTTGTTTTTGGTGCCTTCGTTTTCCGGCGCGTAGAACAGCCGTGCGGCACCGTCGAGGGTTACAGGTTGCGGACCAGGCGACAGCAACTACGCCGCAGTGGATGCCCATGCACGCGGTGGCCTGGGCATTGCCCAGGACTTTGGCATGGGCGGCCCCGGGGCGGGACCGCCCGCCCACATGTACGGCGCCGTAGCTCCGCAGGACAGTAAGTGCACTTATGGGTTGGACTGAACGACATGTGTGCAGCATGTTTTTAAAATTCTGGAGAAGAAAACTTTCTACTTTTCGGATGTCCTTGAAAATACTGGCTCTTGTCTATTTTTGATTTAAATTATTAGCATTTTTAAAGCTCACACCCATCGTTCATTGCCCTAATTGCCCTAAATAATTTTAAAAATTTCCAATTAATAATTCATTCGTTTTTAGTCATTGTCCGGGACATGGTCCAGATGCCGCCGCCACCGCCCTCAAACGCACCAACATCGGCGGACGCCTGCTTGAGCATCGTCCACTCGTTGATGTGCCACAGGCAGGGCGGGGAAAGCGAGGGCTTCGCCAAGCGCGCCATTGAGTCATTGGTGAAGAAGCTGAAGGAGAAGCGCGACGAACTGGACTCACTGATCACGGCCATTACCACAAACGGCGCACACCCCAGCAAGTGCGTGACCATCCAGCGAACACTTGACGGTCGCCTGCAGGTGAGATGGATTTGGATTCTCAGACGAACGGGTGACTCAGGTCTCTAATACTCATGGGTGCTCGCGCCCGGTTCTCTTATCAGAAATGAGTGTCCGGCTTTGTTTGCTTGTCAAACTTCCGGTTTATCAGCAGCTATGTGGATTTTCGGGTTGTTCTATTCTATTGAGAGCAAAGTTAATAATGAATGTCTCCCTCTCGTTTAGGTCGCCGGCCGCAAAGGCTTTCCGCACGTGATCTATGCCCGGATTTGGCGCTGGCCGGATCTCCACAAGAACGAGCTGAAGCACGTCAAGTACTGCGCCTTTGCCTTTGATCTCAAGTGTGACTCGGTGTGCGTGAACCCCTACCACTACGAGCGCGTCGTCTCTCCGGGCATAGATCTGTCCGGCCTCAGTCTGCAGTCCGGGCCCAGTCGCCTTGTGAAGGACGAATACTCAGCGGGCCCACTAGTTGGAGGCATGGACATCGATGGCAATGACATCGGCACAATTCAACACCACCCCACGCAGATGGTGGGCCCGGGCTATGGATATGCCCAAGGACCCGCTGAATATGGTACGACTTCCAGCGCCACATATAGTTTTTGTGTATTTTCTTATCAGTTCTTATGTTTCTTATATTCGTTTCCTTGCGTTTGTTCTTCTTTCGTTGGTATTTTTGTGTTCCTTCGGCATAGTGGGCGATGGAAATCCCTTGAGTGCAATGTTCCCCACCGGGCGAACAATACCAAAAATTGAGCCGCCAGATGGTGTCGGGTCGCGAGGTTCATGGATGGTGCCACCGCCACCGCGGCTTGGCCAGCCTCCACAACAACAGCCCCAGCCACAGTCGCAGCAGCAACCCCCGCCGCCCCCTCAACAGCAACAGCCACAGCAGCAGCCTCAATCCCAATCCCAGGGTGCTGCCCACTCGCTTTGTAAGATTTATTATATTTTTAATATTATTTTGTATTTTAATTATTTAAAAGTATTATTTTTAACTAAAGTTCTTAACTTAACCTTTATTAATTAACGTTTTCTTAATTTTCAGCTGTACCTCATGGCATGCCGGGCATGCCTGGCCCCATGAATACAGGCCCTGTAATGGCACCGCCACCTCCGCCGCAGCAGGGTCCCAATCCCCAAGGTAATGGGGTGCACCACGCCCAGACCAACTCACCCACAGATCCCGCCTCCGCCATGGCCATGCAACAGCAGCAGCAGCAACAACAGCAACAGCCGCCGGGCGGCGTGCCGAACGGTGGTGTAAACGCCAGCGGCGGAGCCGGAAACGGAGGGCAGTACTATGGCCCACCACCCACAGGAAATCCAATGCAGGGCTCTGGTGCAGGTGGAGGTGGAGGATCTGTTCCTCAACCCGTTCACGCCCAGCAGAATGGCTATGTTTCGCAGCCGGGATCCGCGGGAGCAGGCCCCAGTGGTGGAGGCAGTGTTTTCGGAGCAGCGCCAAGTGCCGCACAGCAGCAGCAACAGGCAGCCGCGGGAGTTCAGGCTAATGCCGGTACTGGAGGAGCTCAGGCCAGCGGTGGAAGTGGAGCAGCTCAGACCTGGGCAGGTCCCAACACCCTCAGCTATACTCAGTCTATGCAGCCGCCCGATCCGCGATCACTGCCGGGTGCCTTTTGTAAGCCAACCTTTGAACAGCCTGTTTGAAACCTTAATAGTAACTGTTGTATGTGCACAGGGAACTCATCGATTCCGGGCGAACTAGGATCTCCGCAACAGACCCCGCCGCAGCAGCAATCACAGCAGCAGCAGCCGCGCCTGCTTTCACGCCAACCGCCACCAGAGTACTGGTGCTCCATTGCCTACTTCGAACTGGATACTCAGGTGGGTGAAACTTTCAAGGTGCCCTCGGCAAAGCCGAACGTTATCATCGACGGCTATGTGGATCCATCCGGTGGCAATCGTTTTTGCCTAGGCGCCCTCAGCAATGTCCATCGGACCGAGCAATCGGAACGCGCCAGGTGAGTAGATTCTATTAATGTTAGTGCATCATAAACGACCTAATATCTGTCTTTGCTCTAGGCTACATATTGGCAAGGGCGTTCAGTTAGACCTCCGAGGAGAGGGGGATGTATGGTTGCGCTGCCTCAGCGACAACTCGGTGTTCGTACAAAGCTATTACCTGGATCGGGAGGCGGGTCGCACGCCCGGCGATGCGGTGCACAAGATTTATCCGGCGGCGTGCATAAAGGCAGGGGACTATTTTAATTATTTTCAATTTATTCAATTGCCCTAACATTGCTCACGATCTTGCAGGTATTCGATCTGCGCCAGTGCCACCAACAGATGCATTCACTGGCCACGAATGCCCAGGCAGCGGCGGCAGCTCAGGCGGCTGCAGTGGCTGGAGTAGCTAACCAGCAAATGGGCGGAGGCGGAAGAAGTGAGAAACAGAGTCTATTTTTAAATCCACAAAAAGCTAAAGTATATTCGAATTTAGGCATTACGGCGGCAGCTGGCATTGGTGTGGACGACTTGCGGCGACTCTGCATCCTACGGCTGAGCTTTGTTAAGGGCTGGGGTCCTGACTATCCGAGGCAGTCGATTAAGGAGACTCCCTGCTGGATCGAAGTGCACCTCCATAGAGCCCTGCAGCTATTGGACGAAGTGCTCCACGCCATGCCCATCGATGGTCCAAGAGCGGCCACATAAACCCCAGCAGAAGCTAATGCACACATATTTATTATTGGGCCACACAGCATATATGTATGTAGTTTGGCCAGCAAGCAGCTACAAAGTGGATTTTCAGTTTATAATTTGCAATTCTGAATACGATTATAGTTTGCCTTTGATTATTTAATAATGATTTTTATAAAAAATTGAGATAAGTGAACAGTTTTAGGTACGCAGCTGTAAAGCGCTTAAGCCTCTAGATTTATGTACTATACTTAATTATAAACTCATTCACACGTCCTCCGGCACTGGGCCGAGGACCGAGGACCGAAGACCGAGGAAGGGACGCACGATTATCTGATAGTTGACAAGCGGCAAGCGATTTGCTCATTGCCCATTTCCTGCCACGCAAATCACGACAAGAAGCATACACAGCATTACAATCATCCAAGCTAAGCCAACAAGCGAAACAAAAAAACATTGATGCACACATAAATACATACATATGATGTAAAATGCAACATAAATAAGGCAAGCAAAATAAGTAGATGTAACATAAGTGTAATAAACAGAGCATAACGAATGTATTAATCCGAGACTTTTGATTTGTACTCGCAGGTGGGTCTATACAACCATATTTCTTAAACCATTTGTCTATATTTGTACATTGATAAAAAATGCATTCATAATTAAACATATTCTAATAGGTTTCGATCCTTAGCTCCACTTGCTTGTCAAGCCAGCTTGTCCACTCCGGCGTGATCGGTCGCTCCAGTGTGACCTCTTGGAAGACCTCTACACGGCGGGTCTCCACAAACTGAAAGCTCTCAAATAAATGCAGGGAGATAGTGTTGTGCATGTCTATTTTCACCTCGAACTTCTCCAGCTTTAGCTGGGATTGGGCTTGAGCATATTTAAGCATCAGAAGCATGGCTTCGCGTCCAAAGCCCTTGCCCCTGGCCGATGGCTCGGCAATCATTATCTCTGCTTCGGCCACTTGTTGGTCCGTGTCGGGGTCGAGATGCAGAAAGAGATTGGTGTCTCCCACCATGGCTGCGATTTCATCCTGATCGCGGGAGTAGGCTTCCGCGTCCAGGACGATGAAAGTTAGCTTGTCATTGTCCTCGCGCCAACTCTGCTGCATCTGGTATTCCTCATCCAGAGTCAGTAGTTCTGAGGCAGTCAGCTGTCTCAGTTCCTCGCTGCTCATCCATTTATGGTATTTGGGCACATGGAGAGCTTCATAGGGAACAAGGACTATCCGGCTACCAACTAATTTCGTTTTCTCATTCAGACGCATCCCAATAGACTGGAAACGTAGTAAAAAGTCAGGATAAATTAAAAATTATGATATTTTGCTTTTGTTTACAAATTTTAAGGGGTTGTTCCCAGTCACAATTAAAAAAAAAATTTGTTTTGTTTTGTTTCTTTATTTATGTTTACTTTTGATATGTTACTTTTTTTTATATGCTGACATCTGGGGATTTTAAATTATTTAGCCATTAATATTTAAAATTTGTATTCCTTCTGTTAACATTTTCAAGTTTTAGTATTTTACTACTTCTATAATTTAAATTTAAATTTATGTGTTTTAACCATCGTATGACAGGTTACGATTATTTAAATGATCCGGCAACTCTCTGCCGGGACAGAGAAATAAGGTAACTCACGAAACAGCTAAGCAATTGTGTGGAAATGTCGAGGAATTGCCGCGCTTGCGGAAAATTCATCTTTAGTTCAACGCCGAAGGACCTTTTCCAGGATCCCGACTCTGTAATGCTTCATCAGATCGAGGCACTAACGGGACTATTTGTAAGTTTCATGCACAGGGATCCTGCACGTTCAGACTTGCTTGATGCACTTGGAGCCTGGGCGATTTTTCAAACTGTATTCCGCTCGTTATTCTAGTTATTGGGGGGCTCTGAATATCCCACATGCATCTGCGGACCATGCGAACTTGCCCTGCTGGAAGCCATCCGCTTCAGGGAACGAGTAATTTTAACACAGAAAACTCTGCAGAGCAATCCTAGCGTGGTGTTTTCATTGCAAGTCTTGGATATAAATGAAATCGAAGGATGTATGATCCTAGGAGAACCTGATGAGGCGGTTAATCTTGAAATGATAGAAGACCAGGTTGTGGAGTTAGTCGAGGAGGATGTGTGCCTAAAGGATGAGCAGCCACAGGAAGATCAGGCACCGCAGGACCAGCCACAAGTCACAAGTGGACTCACGGAGTCACGAGCGGACCCGTGTATAGATATTCATTTGGTAGCTGAGGAAGATAAGGAGGTACCACATAAACCATCTACTATTTCAACATCTGTGATATTTGGTGACAATTTAAGAAAGCACCAACGCCGGATTGATTGGAACAAACTCACGGAAGACGAAACGGTGGCCTTGAAGCGAGAAAGGCGCAAGAGGGACTGCATTTGTGAACAATGCGGCAGGCACTTCTCCTGTCCCAGTAACTTCAAGATTCACCTGCTCCGGCACACAGGCGTAAAGAGCTTTTCTTGCCCCTACTGTCCACAAAAATTCTACACCCCTCATTTGGTTCGGCGGCACCAGGTGATACACACTGGTGAACGACCGTATGCATGTAACTTTTGCGACATGTCCTTCAATAATGTGAGCGGACGTATTCAGCATGAACGCATGTAAGACATTTTTATTTGAGCTATGTTCTGCATTTTAATATTCTGTTTTTTATAGCCGCCACACGTCAATCAAGCCTTACAAATGCACTGAATGTGATAAAAGCTTTGCCGTAAGCGGGAAATTGCGGACTCACATGCTTAGCCACACAGGAATACGATCGTTTCAGTAAGTTTCTTCCGTAACCTTGGATTGTATACATTCTATACATCTATAAAACTCTTTTAGTTGTGAAGCCTGCAAAGTCTCGTTTATACGACGCTCTCACCTGATGGCTCACTGCCGCTCCAAGGCCCATGCCCAGAATTTAACCATGCAGGAAGATGCTTCCAAGCCGTCGGATTTGGACGTGGAGACCGTGCTGATGGTTGACTCAGAAATAGCTCAAATTCCTTGAGCAGGAGCGGAGACGAGAATAGTATGTTTTTAGTAATGGCCAATAGAGTAAATTTAGTTTATGGGGAGATGATTCGTAACAATGGGTCGCTCCCAATCGAACTTCTTCTGACGATCTTAAGCGATCGCGGGCGGTGTACACGATGAACACGTTGTGCATGATGGATGCAAAAGAGAATAGGCTTCCAAATTTAAGAGTAGACCCTGTCCATTGATCTATTTATGTAGCGCCTGTTCGCATATATTTTAAAAATTTTCGCACCCTTTTCCTTTTTCTGCCGTATAAGGTACATGATAGTATCAAAAAAAATTTAATTCTTTTCAAAGACAAATAATAAAATTCAGTCCATTTAATTCCCAGTCGATTTCGAGACTTCTTTTCTTGTCCAAATTTTTTTCCCCACTTTTTAATTTAAAAAGGCGTGAAACGCACCAACTGTATTTCTGTACTCTTCCAGGGGCTATTATAATATTAGTCAAAAGTGTGAAACGCAGTGAAGGAGACATCTCCGACCCCATTAAGTACATATATTCTTGATCAGCATCACCTCCTGAGTTAATATACGCATGTCCGTCTGTCTGTTTCTATGCGAATAAGTCTTAGATTTAGCTGACCTAAAACTTTGCATCCTTCTTTTCTTTGCACGCAGTATATAAGTTGGAACGGCCGGAATCGGCGTTATAGCTGCCGGAACAATCGGAAATGGTATTTGGTAAAAATACCAACTTTGGTATTTTTGAAGATAGAAGCTCGCTCCTTTTCCCTTTTTTTTGTATTGTAATAAATTGGTTTTATTCTCATAAGCATCGGCCAACTATATCCGATGTTTGCGATATATGGTTTTAACTATCCGGTTTTAACTGCAAGGGTATATCAGTATATCACGTTATATCAAGTTAGCTTTCTTTTCTTGATTTTATTTTAGTTGTTTATTTCTGCTTAAATTCTTTTAAGTTTTAGCCCGACTTAGTACTTAGTGTAAAAGTAATTAATTCTTTTGTCCTCAAACCAAAGACAAGAACCTTGCCGATTACTTGAGGATTGTAACAGCATTTTGAATATAAGTGTTGTAAAATCTCGTGGTGGCAGCGCTAAAGCGTTGCCAGAAATATTCAGTCGAAAAAAATAGAAATAAAAATAATGTTAAGAACTATTTAAATAAAAATGTTAAAGAAATGTTAAATCAATTTGAGCAAAGTAGTAATATTTACTAACATACCAAATGTTAGTTTTGTTTGGTTCTGTAAAAGAATAACTTGCCACCGGTAATAAATTGGAGCGGCCACTTTTGCTTTGGCGTTTTGTGCTGATGCACTGCGACAAAATCCATCGCTAAAGAGTAAGCCGGAAGCAACAATTCATCGAAACCGGAAGATTCGCGATCAGTGGCAGAAAAGTTATACGGCGGGCGACTCTGGCCTAACCAATGTGGCACTTCCAATGAGAAATCAATTGCAAGTCCTTGGATGCTCTCAGTATTGGTTTTTGGCGAGATTGGCCCCGCGGCAACTGTTGTCTACCCAGTCTAGTCCATTCTAGGTTGCCCCTTTACCGCTCCGAAAAGCAGACAGTTCTCCCAATGGAGAATCCCCCTCTACCGGACGCTGGCCCGGACCGGAAACGCCCACGGTTGGAGGATGAGGAGCAGGAGTTAAAGGTTGCAGGATTTTCGTTGAGTGCCATCGAAGAGATGCGCCAGACTCGCGACAATGAGCGGCAGAGTGAGCCCATGGACCAGCAGCTCCGACAGTTTCAGGTCCTCGATGAAGTGGGCTCCAACAGCGATGAGGATGAGTCAGGTGAGTGTTCAACTGTGAGTGAGGAAAAGCCACCCCTACGGGTGTTTATTTCTTATCTCGCCATCTCTGCCCGTTATCATTCCTCAAATATTGGAGGCTGATAAAAGGTAACTGGTCGCCAAGGGAAGCCATGAGGTGCCAGCCTCAGTTCTCCCCTGGACAATTTAGCGGCAGGTGACTCGTTTTCCCAGTGAGCATCACCATGCGCATGATACCCATTGTCCGAATGGCCTGGCCATCTAAATCAGGTATTAATTCGGCGTCCCAAAACTGGGATTAATGATCAGAACTAAGACATAGCCTACGCCTTCCAAATACTTGGAATCTTGGGGATCAGTTCCCCGATTTGTCTCTCGTTTCCCTTCTAAAAACAAATAGCTTATCTAAACAGCGATTGTCTCTACTTACATGGCAACCATCAAAATCAACAACACTTCCAGACGACGCCAGCGAAAAGCAGACCGGCAGCAGGTATGGAGAAGGCGAAGGAGAAGGTGGCGACGAGGAGGAGGAGGCGGGTGATGGCGAGGGGGAAGAATACGACTCCTCGGATTTCGATGATGAGGAGATCGAAAATCTGCTCGACGAGAAGTTGCCCGATGAGCTCAGAGAGTCCAAGCGGCCGAAATACGAACAGCGCTTCAAAACTGTGTTAGATGGTAAGTGGATTGTCTAAACCGTCTCTTATTCTTCAAGTACCTTTTTAATTGTTGTAGAAAAGCGCCACAACCACTTCGAAGTACTGCCCGAGGGATGGGTTCAAGTGACCCATAACAGCGGCATGCCGCTATTCCTGCACCGTAAGACTAGGGTTTGTTGTGCTTCCAGACCATACTTTTTGGGTACTGGCAGCGCCCGTAAACACGCCGTGCCACTGGGTGCCATTCCTTGCCTTAACTACAGAAGGGCCTTGGACGAGGAATCCGAGGCGGAGCAGCAAAAACAGGCTGCGGCCGCGGCCACCGGTGTGTGTCCTTTTAGCGGAGCAACATCCGATACTGCCCAGCCCCCAGAGGGTGAACCCATGCAGGTGGAGGGCAAAGAGAACACTGAAGCTAACCCTGATCCCCAAGCCCAGCCAGATGCATTGACTGCTCTAATGCCGGGTGCCAAAATTGTCACAGTTAACGAAAATACACAAAAGGAATCTGTAACGCCGGAGCAGTTGAACTCCTACTGCCAGAGTCTATTCAAATTCAAGGTTATACGCGTGCTTCGTTTTCGTAGTTGGAATGCTCGTCGAAAGTTCACCAAGAATCGCAAGCATATTAAGAACATCCAGCGGCCAACATTGCCCGATGGCACTAAACTTATTAAATTTCCTATCCTGGCGGCGGCAGGCGAGGGATCCACGAATCCTCGCGGTCGAAGGGAGTGGATCATGAATCCGAATGGTAAGAGCTATGTTTGCATTCTGCACGAGTATGTGCAGCATGCTCTAAAGACGCAGCCCACCTACGAGTTCAAGGAGCTGCAAAATGCTGCCACTCCCTACTCTGCCACTGTGTCGGTGAAAAATCTAAAGTATGGTACTGGATTTGGGACCAGCAAGAAGCAGGCCAAGTCCGAGGCTGCACGCATAACTCTAGAAATACTCATTCCCGATGTTAAGGACAAGATAACTGGAAACAGCAAGGATCAAAAGAGCGGAACTGCCAAGAAAGCCCAGAGCGATTTGTCTGTAAGTTAGACTTGTTATAATTGATATAAATATACAACGTTTGAAATATACTCTAGGTTTTTGATGACATTCGGATCGAGGATCCGCGTGTTACTGAGTTCTGCAACAAGACGACCGAGCCTTCACCCAATGCCATCCTTGTGACATGTTTGCAGCGCAACTACGGAAGTGATGTTCAGATCAGCCAGGAGATCAACCGCACGGCGAACAACAAGAACGAGTTCACAATGACTGTGGGTAAGCACACAGCCAAAGTGGTGTGTCGCAATAAACGGGAAGGGAAACAGCTGGCCTCCCAGGCCATCCTACAGGTAAGCCAATAAACTCCTGAATGGCTATCTTATATTGAGATTCTTTCTCTATTTTAGATCTTGCATCCGCACATCCAAACTTGGGGCTCGTTGCTGCGCCTTTATGGCAACAACTCGATCAAAACATTCAAGGAAAAGAAGCTGGAGGAACAGGAGATCACTGTTCTGCAAAGTAAGGCGGCGGTGAATCAGCCCAACTACGCCATTCTGGATAAACTAAAGTCGGAGATGCTAAAGCTGAGTGCTAAGCAGGAAAGCGTGTTCACCATGGGCACCTTTGTTCCGCCCAGCGACGTTGACTTGCCAACTTCCTCGGGTTCCAATCTGAACAACGTCGAGCTTTAGGCCGTGCAACTTAATTCTCTCTAAAATATTTTGTATCTAAACTAGAATATGACAAGATCACAATCTCTTACTTTCGAAAGATCAAAGTGCTAATGACAATTGCGACGTTATCTCTTGAGGCAAATGAACTGATTTAATTTTGGCTTCTTTTATCAACATAAAAAAACAATAGAGCATTAGCCAATCTCTTATTGGTAACCTGTCGGATCATTTTTCTTCCAAAATCATGTTTAATTTTAAAGTATATCCATTGATAATGCCAAATAGTAGTGATTTCCTAAAAATTGTGTAACCATGAGGAGCATTAAATGAACTATATTAAATGCATATTAAATATTAAACTTTTATTAAAATATTTAAAGTTTTTATATCAAATTTGTAATATTTTGAATTGGTCAATTTTGTGTGTACAGTGGACACAACGAGTTGTATTCATTAACAATGAAGGTAATGTTTTCATTTCCATTGTTTGTGTAATACTGTATGCTGTCTTAGATTAGCAAACTATCTTATGTTTCTTGTGCTTAGATTAACAAATTATTATTAAAGCATTGTGACTTCTACGAGCTTGTCTCTGGTGCAGAACTCTCCGTTTATTTATCATTGTTTGTGTAAATATTTTTCATGCTAATTTCCCCATAAATCTTGTCTAATCATTTCATCGAGTGTTGTTTGCTTTTTTAAGAGCTCCAAACACCATTGACCTTTAACCAATTTTGGCAAATGTTTAAAAAGCAACAAAAATGAAATATTTATGTGGCTATTAGAGCGGAGTGTGGGGCGGTGGGGGCCTCCACCGAATGGAGTGGATGTGAATATTTAAAACGTAAGCAAATGTCTGTGCAGGTCTTAGGTGTGTTTGGGTGTGTGTGCGTGCAATTATTTAAAAGACGATGCAGTCATAAATTATGCTACATTTTCATTTCATTCTAACGTTTCCTTTTTTATAGCATTCCAACGAGCGCAGCTCACACATATTTATCCTGGCGAAGAGCGACTCGAAGAGAGTGTTGGGAGAGAGGCGAGAGCGGCGCAGGCGCAGTGTCCTGCACCGTTAGCCGTGTTCTGCGCAGCAGCCATGCTGCGAGATGGATGTTGACTTGCGGATTCCTATCTGTATCTTCAGTACGGATTCTTCGCGTGGCAAGTGCGAAAGCAAAAAGCTCTGCCGTTCGTCTGCGACTTGTAATTAAATCACAGTAACTCGGAACAGACCGAAGAAAAAAAACAGAAAACTATAAAAAAGTGAAGAGAGCGGAGAAAAAAAATCGGAAATCCCCTCAAACTGCAGTGGAGTGCCAAATCATTTTTATTGACATTCATCATAGTTGCTGTCGCCCGTCGACTGTCACTGCGTTTAATCCTGGCCCTATACACTCTTGTTCAAATACACATACACATGTATATCCCTTCGCCAGCATAGCCCCCGACTCGACCCCGGTATCGTGTGTCGCGTGTTGCAAGTGCGTGGGTGTCATCAAATCACTGGATAACGCGGTGCGTTTCAGCCGAGTGACACGCGCGCCGTTTTTGATTTTTCGTTTAACGACACAAAAATTGGGTCTTCCTAACCAATAAAAAGGAATTTTGGCCAAACGGAAAAAGGAAAATCAAACGCAAAATCGGGTATACATCTCGTTGTCTGTGGATCCTGCACACACACACTAACACCAACTCACAACACACAGTACAAAAAGACAAAAAACACCCGAATAAACCAAACTCACGCACATCCATGTTTCGTGTTTAATGCATTTGGCCCGCTGTGGCTTGAGCATCTCGGAGATATGTAAATTATGCGAGATTCTATTGGAATTTGTTGGCCAAAGCCAGTGAATTGATAAACACCAGAAGCCAGAAGCAGCCGCTCCAGGACGACAAGTATTTGGGGGCAGGAGAGCCAGAGCAACAGCAAGAAAAGAACGGCAAGAACAAGAAAGGTAAGCGGTACAGCGCATTAGGCGCCAAGTGTTGCCGGAGAACGCTGGAAAATTCAATAATCCGCCGCAGGGCGCCCAATTGTCCCCCATATATACGGTCCCCATTCCGCCCGACAAACCCATTCTCATCTGGGCGCATACCGAATGTATTGTACATATATACACGGAAACAAAAAGAACCAAATCGCCCATCAATATCAGTATGTTAATTTGGAACTGTCAGTTTTCATTAATGAGTTAATATGTGGCATAAATATTAAAGGATAAACTGGTGTTTGTCTGTTGAGGTTTCATAGATACAAATTATAGTTTCATGTAAGTTTGTTCCCGTAGAATGGGTCTCGAATCTGTAATACATAAATATAAAGCTTAGTATATGAAGCTTATATAAGGGTCGAATGTAATGGATTTATATTAATATTAGATTTTAAATAGAATATGGAGCAGTTCAAACACCTGTTTATAAGATAGATATGCTAATGCTTTATATAAAAGGGAAGTTATCCTGGTTTCAGAAGAAATTAGGTCTAATATTATAAAAAATATATAAAAATATATAATATAAAGCTATACTGTCATGGATTTATATTCTGAAACATATTTTAGTATATAAGAAACTAAATACTTCAATTATAAGATAGTCTAAGAATCTTAGGAATAGAGCAAATAGTTGCTTATACCTGGTGTCTATCGATACCTGTCAATTGATAGATATCCTTAAAAAACACAATTTTTTTATTTAAGTATATTTAGCATTTTTTTTCTGCAGTGCACATACAATGTTCGGGTATCTGCTGTAGTCTGTTGCGCCCAAAAAGTAGGTTGCCTTCGGTCTGGCTGGCTCTGGTCTGTTTTGCGTTCTGGCTTTTGTTTCTCCACTCGGTTCGATATTCATTTAGTTTCAGATTCTGTTTCGGTTTCGGTTTCGCTTTCACTTCCAGCTAATTTCAGCGGAATGGAGCAACTCACAAGAATAACAGCAAATACCTAAGTGGCGCAATGTTGACAAAGCTTATATGTTTACTTAGCACTAGGACTTTCGGTTTCTTCCCTGCGGGAGCAAGTGGCCTTTGAAGTTTTGATAAGCAAATCCAGGTAATGCTCCCCTCGCCCACTGCCAGTACCCTGGGGCCTCCATTTGTCCGGAGAGCCGGAGTGCCATCCCGTTGTCCACCTAAATATAAACAAATTCTAGGAAGCAACCTTATTATGGACCCTTCTTAATACATTTCCTTTCTTTTTAAGCTTCCGCCAAGTTAGCCTTCCCTTTTCGTTTTCATCAATATCTTCAAAAAATACACAGTCCTTTGCGTTCCTTTGTGAAACGGTTGATGAATTCCTGACCATTAGATAGAAAAAAGTACATCCTATTAATTGTCACCAACTTAATGGCCTAAAAATCAATTGAGGGTCCTTACTTTTAAGGTTTCTAATAAACGACAGGAGTTTTTTGGCAGGATTTGGCCAGCATTTTAAGCAGCGCTGAAAAGTATGCTAGAAAAATGTTTAATTTCCTTTTAATTAATTATTTGAAATAGAAATTAAAATATTTGCTTCTTGAAGTTCAATTCAATTACTCAAAAACAATACTCGAAATCTGAAGCTAGTAAAAAAGGACCATGTTCAAATATCAATCTGCCGTATTAGGATATTTCAAATGTATTTCAATTCGTTCGGCTTAAAAATACAAAAACCCTATTAAGAAAATAAGAATTAATAAGAGACGCTTCTTGACAGAAAAAGTTACCAAAAATTAGACTTTGTTTCTTTATAATTCTCACATTCATAAAAGTTTACTTTAATTAATATGCAAAAATGCTAAACAGACAAAACCAGCAAGGGAAAACAAACAAACAATCCAACGAAAACATTTATGTAAACCCAAAGAGATGGAGCTCACAATTTTGGAAGTTGGGAAGCTGGAGAGGGAGCTTCGGGCATCCCCTTTCTGCTTTGTTGGTGATGGGTTGCAATGGCAACCGGATGCCACCGCAAGGTGGTCTTTGATGTCTGATAAGCAAATCCCGGTATTGTGACACCTTCAGCTCAATAGATGACCGACCCATCACCCGGTTCTCCGTAGCCGGTAGCCTGTAGCCTCAAGCCGGTTGCCCATTTTCCTTTTCCCGTCACCCTTCAAATCGGAAAAGTGGGCTGGAGGGGTGCGAGTACTTAATAATGCAAATACCCACAAAAACTTTTCGCTCGAGGAGTCTGGGGTATGGTGTACAGGATTCCAGAAGGGGCTTATCAAATTCTTAGAATGGCTTTGCAAAGAAATAGAAAAGTAAGCCAGAAAAATCGCATTCATTCAGCGACTGGCTGGGGTCCTGGCCAATTTGGTGTGGTAACAAATTATCACTGGCCGGGAAAATCAATAAACATTAATCTTGTTGCGATTTTGTCTATATCCCGCACATTATTTGCATAGTTAATGGCGCCACGGGTGCCGTCGGCCATTTAACGAACAGATTTAAGTTTGATTGGATGCCCCGGAACGGGCTCGGCAATTGTTATTAAAATTCTAACAGGATTTCTAAGCTGATTATGTACACTTGTAGTTATAATTTCTGACATCGATATCCCCAGTCTCGGCAAACAATGTTGAGGGATTCGTTTGCTTTTGCATTTGTATAATTAAAATTGGAACTCGAAGGTCTGAGGCCGAGTTTCCGACTGTCGAGTATTGGACTTCCTGGGCGAAAGATTGGACTTGCAGAGGAGAAACTTGAGATATGTACATACTTCGGCTATCGAATGGCAATTAACACGGATGTGTGGGCCGTGAAACCCTTGAGCAACCCCAGAGCCCCCAGATTGAAATCTTATTTGTTCAACATGGCGTATACATAATGTATAAATGAGTTTTCTCGGCGGCGCCGTGACATGTGAGTTTGGCATTAAAAGGAAACTGAAATGATTTTCCTAATAGACCCAGGGGATGTCTTCATTTTGATTGGCCTCTCCTTGAAGCTGCCCCCTCAGCAGCTTACCATAAAAATGTTCATTTCCATATTGATTTCATGAGCTTGTCATGCCCCGCAAAAAGCAATCTCATCGAAGGGAACTTTATCCTATGAAATTAAAATTTAATTTCAATTAACTTATCACATCGTTGCCAGCATCCGACACCCGAAACCCGACACCCAACACCCGACTGACACCAATAGGTATGCCTAACCCCGCCGCCGCCATATTCAACACATTGAACCTGGGCTAATCTACCACAAAATAGCTCGAGGAGGGGCCTGGTCCCCTTTCCCTGTCACCCTGCCAACTTACCAACTTTCCACCTTGAAAATTTCATAATTAAACGTTGCCCAG